AAATTAACTGTAATGGTTGCAGTCACAACCTATAGGTTTTGTTCTCTGTAGGTTTGCGTGTAATGTTTGCTTCATGCATAACTGCATACTGTGGGAAAATATCCACCTACTGATCTCTTCGTCATCTCTGAAGTTGAAATCATTCTGGTAAAGATTGCATGACATAAGTTAAAAATTACTTTCTTAAGATGGACTATTTTTGGGGATTCTGGGCGTGAGTCATGGGATGTGCATGTAGGAGTAGGCTTAAGTCTGAATGGTTTTCAGCATCTCGGAAATTGCGTAAACATTTAAGCTGGTGAAAGTTGCTCCTTGCTGTTTTGGTATGTTGTTTAAACTATCTGGCAGAGAGAGACATATCTATGTAATTTCCTGAAATCAATATAGCAGTGTAAATAAATAAGTTCTGTTGGAGTAGACGCTGCCCACAAACAGTTTAAACAGCTGTAGTTGAAATGATCCACAGGTTGGCAGAAGGAATTTCGGCTGTGAATTTCCTCATTGAAGCCAGGTTTTTAGCTCCCCTCCTTAGCCAAGATATGACTTTGACATGGAGGAGAATATGCTTTCTCTGCACATATCGCAGACAATTTTGTTTTGTTTGGTTTTGTTGAAATTTAGTGTAGGGGAAAGACTGTGTAGGGAGTGAAGTGTTAGGCCTTAGTGAGGTGGAATGGAGTGTAATGTTGTGTACAGGATTATTTCCCTTATATAGCCATGTGCAGGCAAGTGTATGTGGTTGCTTGTGGTAGTTCTGATGTATGTTGGTTGTTTAGTGATAGACCACTGAAATACCATCCTACAGGAATAACTCACAACCCCCAAGAGAGAGAAGAGAGAGAGAGAGAGAGAGAGAGAGAGAGAGAGAGAGAGAGAGAGAGAGAGAGAGAGAGAGAGAGGGAGGGAGGAGGGAGAGAGGGAGAGAGAGGAGAGAGAGAGAGAGAGAAGAGAGAGAGAAAAGGAGAGAGAGAGGAGAGAGAGAGAGCATCTGCCTTTATGGTCTGTGGAGAGAGGAGGGAAGAGTGAGATAGAAGGGGAGAGAAGGAAATAGAAAGAGAGAGAGAAGGAAAAGGGGAGAAGAGTTGGAAAGTGTGAGAGAGAGGGGTTGGAGAGTGAGAGAGGCAAAGTGAGATTAGGAGAGAGTGAGAGACAGAGGAGAGTGAGAAAGAGAGAAGGAGGGAGGAGTGAGTGAGTTTAGTTTTACGCCGCTTTTAGCAATGTTCCAGCAATATTGCGGAGGGAAAACCAGATATGGGTTTCACACATTGTGCCCATGTGGGGAATCGAACCCGGTCCTCGGCATGACGAGCTAACACCTTAACCACCATGCTACCCCACCGCCCCAGGGAGGGAGGAAGTGTGAGATAGAGAGGAGAAATATTTAATTAAGTTGGAAGAGATTTAGGGTACATATGAAGGTAAAATGACAAAAAGAGTAGTGATTGTGTTGGTATGAACAACAGAATTATGTTCAGGAAGGAAAGCTATTCTGCCAGGAAGAGAGAGAGATCACTTATATCTGAGTGAGAGCGACAAGACCTGCACCGACATTAACTGCCCATATCTGTGCCTACTGCTGCGTGTTGTCTCAGGTTGGAAATAGCATCTTGTGGAGCCAATGAAAAGAAACAAGAACCTCCATGTTTCTTCCCTGAATGGTGGATTAATGTTTAAAAGGTTACCCAGTGAATATCTCCGGAACTGGTAAATGATAGGCTTTTAATGAGCTGTTTGCTTGTGTAGACCTGCAGAACATTGTATTGAAGTACACATACCACCCATGTTGGTTTCAGAAGTCATTTTTTAGAGTTCTATTTGAGAACAACAAACCTTGGAACTCTTTTGTCAGATCTTGGGGTTACAGTATGAAGCATGTTAGACAAGTTTTCAACAAAATATCAGAATATTGGTATCTGGGCCATCTTGCCCTATGTTATTGGGGTCCAATGCAGAATTACTGTCTGGACAACACAGGCAAATATGATGGCGTACTGGACAAATGCCATAAATTATTTTATCAGGGCCAGTAATTCTGACATAAGAGGCGACTAACGGGATTGGATGGTCAGGCTTGCTGACTTGGTTGTCACATGTCATTGTATTCCAGTTGTGTAGATCAATGCTCATGCTGTTGATCACTGGATTGTCTGGTCCTGACTTGATTATTTACAGACCATTGCCATATAGCTGGAATATTGCTGTGTGCGGCGTTAAACAACAAACCAACTAACAGTAATTATGAGAACTAAGAGGTTCTAATCATCTGGAGCAAAATTTATAAAAACAGGACAACAAATGCTTCTGTAGCTGTTGTGATGTTTGCTAAGTGAAACAATTATCAAGGTTTCACACTGATTTTAGCAATATTCTATGACTACCACGGCGGGGAACACCAGAAATAGGCTTAACACAGTCTACCTGGGTCTTTGGCATGACAAGCGAATGCCTTAACCACCCAGCTGCCCCACTTCCCTGAAAGAAATTTGTACAGACTGGACTGTTCATAGGTGGTTGGGTGTGGTAGGACTAGAGGGAGTGAGTGAGTTAGGTTTTATGCCGCCTTTATCAATATTCCAGCAATATCACGGCGAGGGACACCAGAAATGGGCTTCACACTATGTGCCCATGTGGGGAATCAAACCAGGTCTTTAGCATGACAAGCAAACATTTTAACCACTAGGCTACCCCACGCCCCTGGTGGGGGAAGAACCTCAAGATACTGACATATGATAAATCAAATGTCTTAGAAACGATTGCTCGATAAAAGTCAGTTTGAATAAAACCTGTTTGATGTGAACACTTTTTGCTAAGTATCCCAGGATTATCTTTAAAGCTGTATATTGTCCTACCTGAGATGAACCATGACATACCTTATCAGACATTAAAATCTAAGACTTGTTTGAAAATACAAGTTTTTGCGAGGAGGTAATATTTTGATTACCCAGATGCACTTGTTGTGTAGTGCACTTAATATGCTTTCCACAGGATGAGGGTCTGATAAGGTAGTGTGTGTACATGACATCAAAGAAATTCTTCATAGTTACCTTTGATCTCCTAAACAGGGCCTCAATGAAAGTCTATCTTGAACTTAACAATGGAGGGATTAGAATCAGTCATCTAAATAACCCTGCTCCTTTTCAGGTTTAGTGACCACAGATACTGGAGATAACATTTAGGAAAGTATCATCCACACTGATTATCTGAATGTGTTGGAAGGAAACTATCATGTTCTGTACAGGATATCTGATACAGTCTGCATACATATATTTTGGTGCATTCACATAAAGCAATGGAAAGAGATGTAGGAAAGGGGTATTAGCAATTACTGATTGGATGATTGTTGAGTTGAGTGATTATCTCGGCATCTGCACTAGGTTACAGAGAGACAGCCAGTGAAACGAGCAAGATAGGATGCAGATATATGATGACATGTTGTTTCTATCTGGCGACCATGTTGATGTAAGAAATATGTCTCTGAGCCGAAACCTGTCTGTGAGCCAACTGGGAACAAGGTTTATGCTTAGTGTGACGTGTACACTTGTCAATTAAATCAAGTTTGGACAAATAATTATTTATTTGTTCGACTTTAACAAGTTGGCAGTGATATGTTTCAGTCAGTCGAGGTGTGTTTTTCTTCAGCCGTGTGTGGCCTGAGTTCGGTTGGTGGCAGTTGTTTAAAACACTGAAAATGAAGATTTGGGGATAAGTTTTACGTCATTAATTCCTGTCAGTCATGATTTTACCGCTGTCTTGATAGCATATACAACATAATGAGGTTGTGTTTAGTGTAGGTGGTAGGTGCTAATGTCAATTTGAAAGACAGAGCACTTTTGTAATCTAAGACATTCATTTATATTTTCTGAAAGGTGAAGACAAACAATTATATTTTCAGCATATCCATACATATCCAATAAATATTTTCCCAAAATAGTGAGTGAGTTTAGTTTTATGCTGCTTTTAGCAATATTTCAGCAATATCACGGAGGGGAACACCAGAAGTGGGCTTCACACATTGTACCCATGTAGGGAATCGAACTCGGGCCCTTGGTGTGACAAGCTAACGCCTTAGCCACTAGGCTACCCCACCACCCCTTTTCCAAAACTAAAATGTAAAGCTCAAGCAAAAAGTATTTGTTCAGAAGCAAAATACTTTTTCTAAATACTTTTAGTCCCACCCTAAGATTTGGTCATTAAATACAACCTTCTAGTTAATGACTCCATTGGATGTTCCTGAACAGAATATGTCCCTATACTTGCTGGAAAAACCATGATGAGGATTGGGTGGACACAATCTGTGAGTGAGTGAGTGAGTTTAGTATTATGCCAAACTCAGCAATATTCCAGCAATATGGCGGCAGTCTGTAAATGAACAAATCTGGACCAGACAATCCAGTGATCAACAGCATGAGCATCGATCTACACAATAAGGATATGATGACGTGTCAATCTGTGACTGAATGAGTGCCATTATGACCCAATGATGTGGTTGTCATGCTTTCAACCACTGGTTTGTGTTTGTCATATTTACAGTAGCTCTAAAATATTACTCTCGGTGTCATATAAGCCCCAACCAAACACTGGAAATCATGCATTCAGTCTGTGGGTATTTTAACTTTATACATTACACAAAGCAAACTTAGTGCTAAGGTCATCGTAACTCCCATACTGTAACACTGACTTATGATCATTGTATCGCTAAGGTCACTTTGTAGAACAAGAGCCCTGTTATGAATATGAATGTATATATGTGTTCTCTGACTTAGAACTACTTTCCAAAAACTGCTTTCAAAGCAAACTTAGTGCTAAGGTCATCGTAACTCCCATACTGTAACACTGACTTATGATCATCATATTGCTAAGATCACTTTGTGGAACAGAGCTCTGTTATGAATGTCTATATGAACGTATATATGTGTTCTCTGACTTGAACTACTTTCCAAAAACTGCTTTCACCTTAAAAATTGCAACCTATTCAGTAAGAATACTTGTGTTATTTTCAGTGACCCAGCAGGATTCTGGGGTCAATGTTCCGGAGAATGCTCCGTCTCACTTGCAGCAGAAGCAGGAATGCTGTGCTTGCGGTCACGCCAAGTATGTCATCACATTCAAGGGGCTGTGGTCACGTCATACCCATCCCAAAAACTTCCCCACCGGAGACAGTAAGTTTTGTTTGAGTCAATCATTAAAAGTCAGCAAATATTTAGACAATGACATTCAAAGGCTTTTACAAAAAATAAAATTGTTTTAAGCCCTTTAAATATGTAGATGGAAAATAGCACTGAAAATTTGGTTTGTGGGAATGTCGACCAGGAATTCTTGTGTAAATATACACAACATGGATAATTAGTAGTATTCAAATAACATTTCTTTTGAAGACAAAATGTTTTCCTCAGATGTTATATTTGAAATTATAACATTTTATGACATTTGAAGAATGGAAGGTAAGAAAATCTACATGTGTGTTTGTTATGTAAATTTGTTTGTATAATTCTTTGATTAAAGTGATATAGAAATATTGTTAATTAGTGAGTGAGTGAGTTTGGTTTTATGCTGCATTTAGCAATATTCCAGCAATATCACGGCGGGGGACACCAGAAATGGGCTTCACGCATTGTACCCATGTGGGGAATCGATCCCGTGTCTCAGGTGTGACGAGCAAACGCTTTAATCACTAGGCTACCCCACCGCCCCTATTAATTACAGAGGGTCTGTTTATACATAGTTTTCAAAATCTGTAGTGGAAAGTTGTCAAAGGTAGTGCGCCAGGTTGTGTAGAGTTGCATCCCTTTGTCTGTGTCAGGATCTGCTCATCATGAGTTGAAATCCGAGATTAAGATCCTTTGAATGTTGTCAATACCTACAGTATGCATTAAAGATTGTTTATCTTCCACACAAAACTGACCCAAAATCTTAGAGAAACTTACTTTATAAACCAAGATGGTTAGACTGAACATTTAAACAGAATAAGATAACTTTGAAGATGACTTTCACTCAATAAACAGCTTTTCTTTAAATTCATTTATGTTGTGCAGGATGGAATTTGCCAGTTTCGTTTTTCTAAGGGGCCATAACTCTAGGTTTCTAGGTTAAGTTGAGTTTTACGTCACATCAGCATTATTCCAGCCATATAGCGTGGAGAACCAAATCTGCATACATGGACATTTTAAGCACAAAGTCCAAATGATTTTCTTGAAAAAATCTATATGTTCATTATATTATTATTTACTTTTCCAGGTGCATTTCTTCTGCATTGGTCCAACATCGTCGGCGCCTCTCACAGTAACGACTACCGTATCTGGGACTATGGCAGTTACGCGTCTGAAGCTGTGCGAGAAGTCTGTGAATACGGCTCTTCCCGTTCCCTCACAGAAGACATGAAGAGAAATGTAAGTGCCGTCTTCGTCATCAAACATAAAAACTTTCAATAAAGACGCATACTGTGTCCTGTTAGAGTATGTCCCTGGCTCAAGGCAGGAAGAGAAATGTAAGTATTGTCTGTGACACATACTTAAAACTTGGGTTTTAACAGAACATCATCCCTCAAGACATGAAGAGAAATTCATGTGCTGCTTGCATCCTCATACTTGAGATGGTAGAAAACTCACATTTAAAGTACAATCCTTCACCAAAAAAATGAAGAAAAATATAAGTGCTGTCCGCAGTGCAAACTTGTAACAGTATGAAAATGATGCATGTTGTGTCTTTCAAGGCATGAAGATAAACGTAAGTGCTATCAGTTACGTAATTAGATTTTATGCAAACATGAAGCATAGCTTGTGATTAAGAGTATATTCTCCTTAGACATGACGATAAGGCTCTGTCTGTAACATTAACATAAAACTGTATCAAAGTGATGCATATTGTGTATCTTTAGAACATAATCTCTCAAGACAAGATGAAACATTTAAATGCTGTCAGCAACACAACCTGAAATGGTACAAAAGTGATGCATAGGTTGTCCTTTAGAGAATAATCTCTCAAAACAAGACGAGAAATGTAAGTGCTGTCACAGGGCCATGCATAAAACGGAACAAAAATGATTCACATTGTGTGCCTAGAGAATATATGAAATGTTATTTTAACTGGGTACAATCCAACCAGCCATGTAATAATGCTCTTGTCTATATCTCCTGATTTCATGGGTAGTTAGCTACAAGAATGGCCAACTCTGGCTATAGAGGACTTCATTGTGTGGAGCAACTTGTGCATCCAGGTCTTCATGCATCACTAGTGTACTGACATGACTAGGAGAAAGTTATGTCCGGTTTACACCGGCTGAACACCAGCCCTGCAGGTGATGTGGTCTCACTATAGGTTGTGTGTTCTACAATACAATATACAGTGTTAGAGACCGATGTCATATTGATGGAATATTGCCATGTGTGGCGTTAAACAACAAACCAACATCATTCACTTAAGCCACTTTTTGTTTTATGGTTCAAGGATTTATACTGACCAATAAACTGGGTTGGTTGAAAAATACTACTCCAAGAAGTAAAGGACATCTGATTCTTCTTATAGTTGATCTTACATCCTGTGACAAATTAACAAAAGTTAAATGACAGAATCTTATGACAGATTAACTTTACTCATTTGTAAATCTATTGAGGTAAAGATGAAATGATCTGATGTGAAAAACATATATGCTGAAATAAAGATAGCAAGTTCTTATGTACATATTATGAGAAAAATAATCACAGAAAGGATACAAATAATTATATAAGATTAAAAATCTTGATATTATTTTAATGACATTGTATTTTTTCTTGAAGTATGTCATTGTAGCAAATCCTTATAAATCTTGCAGTGAGTTGTCAAGTATAGAACAAAGACATTGACTCTTAAATGGAAACAGTGTTGGAAATCGAAATCAAGAATTGATGGAAGAAGTTTATAATTCATTTTTTAAGCTGCCCAGGTTCAGAAATTAAATTACACAAATTCTACATCGGTTACGAGATATGACAACTGGTCATGGAGAATTAATGGAAGAACTTTATAATTCAGTTTTAATCTTCCGAAGTACAGTGATTAAGTTATACGAAATCTACAATGGCTATGAGATATGACAGATATGGGTTATGAAAAATTAATGGAAAAACTTTATAATTCATTTTTAAGCTTCCGAGGTACAGAGATTAAATTATACAAATTCTATTATGAGATATGACAGCTAGGTTATCAAGACAGTATTTTGTAATACCTGGCAACTTTTCATAAGTAAAACATGTTGCAGGTCAAGTGAATATCAGGTCAGCCTCAATAAAGTAATGATGACTGGTGCAAAGGTAACACAGATGTGAACGTGTTGATAGGCGAATAGTTTTGATATTTAGCTAAGAAGAAAGCAGTATGATGTTTACACGTGGCAGGGGGTTCCCGAGGTAATTAGCAAGGAGGGACGAGTGGCTACATTGTGTCAATATTGACTACAAAGCAACACTAGAGGTGCCCTCTTGCAATTACAAGTATTCCCATACCAGTGTTGAACAGAATTACAAATATGCATCCCTCTCAAGTCGACTGATTGTCAGCGATGGCGGCATGCTCTGTGAATGTCAGCTGTGACTTTTTGCCCAAATCTTACAAGTATGCACACTGTTTGATTAATATGGACAAGGACTTGTGTATGAGGTGAGATTTGTCAAATGAGGGTGTGGAAGGGTCACAAAGGTCATGGGAGTAAGGGGAGATAACTCTAAATGTTATATTTGGGCCCTGGCATTCTCAAGGGAAATGTCACCAAGTGCTGTGGGTAGTAATTAGGGTCAGGGCATTGAAACAGGTACTTACAGGTATTGAATAATCAACAATAGTGGGTACCCCCATGTTGTGATGATAGACAGCAAGTATGTACTGTACAGTTTATGTTTCAGTCTGTTCAGTGTTGCAGTATTTATGTTGCAAAGAGCATGGAATCCTTGCACAAATATTTTCTGTGCATGGTTCAATGTCCTGATTTTGATCTTAAAATATTCGGATCATTCACAAGAAACATTCAAGGGAAAAAAGACTTTCATCTTTCCTTAAACAAACACGTCCATATAATGATATTTAGATACGTAAAGATATACAATGGTTCTGTTTACATTGAAGAAATATGAATTTATATTTTTGTACTGTCCAAATATTGACCGCATTTGACTTCTTGACCCATAAAGAAACTATTTTCAACAGATATCCAGTTCAGCTATGCTTTTCTTTGATATTTGGAATGTTTTACAACATTTATCAAATGTATTTTCTTATTGTTGGTTCTGTATTTTCATCAGAGATACCACAAGATGGTCTTTCCTTCTGAAGGAAAACTTTGAGAATAACATTTAGTGTAGACTGAAAAATGAATAATAGTAGGTGCTGTTGGCTCGCTGGTTGAAAAACAAACTTAAATGGGATACAAAGCAAAGGAATCTTTTGATTTCATCTTTGTCTATGAATACTTTTCTTGAAAAGTGTTTTTTCCCCATACAACTCTGGATATGATAAACTTGCTTTTTCTCTTGACAAACGGATACTTAACTAAGTATATCATAAATTTGATGAATATTAATCAAGTTGTCCTTTTGCAAAATTCTGCTTACCTGATAAATTCAGGTATCATGGATGAATGTGATGTCATCCATTGCATGGTGACTGACATCATATGCGTCTCTCAACTGTGACAGTGAGAGTGCTGCAAAAAATGAATGATAGTTTTTTGCGTTATGATGTTGATAAACATGATGTGTGTTCCTTCTTTTGGGTGTTATAGAGTATTTGACCCGTGAAGGTCCGGATTAGAATGAGCCATCAGTAACCCATGCTTGTCGTAAGAGGCGACTAGCGGGATCAGGTGGTCAGGCTCGCTGACTTGGTTGACACATGTCATCAGTTCCCAATTGAGCAGATTGATGCTCATGCTGTTGATCACTGAATTGTCTGGTCCTGACTCGATTACTTACAGACCGCCGCCATATAGTTGGAATATTGCTGAGTGTGGCGTAAAACTATACTCACTCACTCAATTTTCTGTACAGAGTTGCATCCCTTGGGCGCGTTAGAATCCAATGATCATTGGTTCTAATCCAATTTGCCCTGATAATGTTTCGAGGATTTTCAGTACCATGCCAAAGTGGTAAGCGTCTAAGATCTGCAACAATTTGCCCTCTCCTCCCACATCAGTGAGTGAGTGAGTGAGTGGGGTTTTACGCCACTTTTAGCAATATTCCAGCAATATCATGGCGGGGGACACCAGAAATGGGCTTCACACATTGTACCCATGTGGGGAATCGAACCCAGGTCTTCAGCACACTGTAACCACTAGGCTGCCCCACTACAGCCCTCCCACATCAAGCTGACACACTGTGATACAAGTGGAACACTATTTAGTGTTAAACCCAGCTCACTCACTCACTCACTCATAATGATTTTGCAAATTTTAGACGAGGCAGCTGTGATAATTTCGATAAATGGCTGTCACCTTTCAAATCTATCATGCATAAAAAAAATGTAGGCTGTTAATTAACATCAAAACTACTCGTAAATTCCACTTTGATGGTAGAGCTCTTCCAATTTAGTCGTAAACATCACCTTTTGACCTGAGCCAGTCATTATCTGAACAGCTGAACTTGAAACTTCACTCTTTAAATCAAGATAATTGATAGTAGATTGATAGGCTTCAGCTTAATTAAGTGTAATTATAAATAAATAATTACTTTTGTCAAAATACCTTTAAAAAGAAATGCGAAACTTGAAAAACAGAGACAATCTTAAGAAAGCATAGCAGGTTGAATAAAGCTTTCAAACCTGTAACACTAGACAGCTTATCTCTGACTCTGTGTCATAATCTCGAAAGAGATAGCTATCTCCAACACCAGCCCCAAACCGTCATGTTAAACACTAATATTACATATTTACACCGTGAATAAGACATATATTTCACGATAAAGAGGATGGCAGTGAAATTGGATTCTCAACCTTGTCTACCAACAGCACATTGGCCATAGTTTAGTTTTATTTTCAGCAGCCCTTCGACCCAAATGTCAGCCTCCCAGGAAGCGTAATTTTAAGGAAAATTATTTCTGTATATTGTATATTCCTGTTTTCTGCCCTCTGTGTATGTTGTAGTGTTAGATTTGTGTGGAACACTACTTACGGAGTCGTAATTTATTTGTTTGGATTAGATTTTTTGTAAGTGCAATATTCCTGTTTTACGCAGTTGTAGTTTATTTGTTTGGATTAGATGTTTCGTAAGTGCGATATTCCTGTTTTATGATGAAGATTTGGTTTCAAGATAAGTAGTTGTCACATGACTTATCTGTATACAGGAGATAAAGCTTCAAATACATGTTATCACCATAGATACCAAATGAACTCAAAATGCAATATTTCTGTCATTTTGTTTCTAAATATAGATAATTATAGGAATGTTTGACCTTTTGAGAAATTTATCAGAAGAAATAATGTTGTACTTTCTATGAAATATGTAAGATTATATAATACTGATTATAAATCATAAGAATTTCAAGATTAATTGAATTCTATGAATACCTGTGTGGGTAGATTTCAACATTAACATTGTCCATCTGCCTGTGGTGTAATACATCCTCATGTACAGGGCTATTTCAGTATGTTGGTTACATCAGACTTTTCTGTGCTGGGCACACATTCCTGTCTACTCAATAAATTACCAACTGTTCACCTGTGTACAATGAAAATTAGTTCAAGATTTTATGGTATTTCATCTACATCAGACCCAAGATGTTTGAATACTGTATGTGGTTGTAATGGAGGTGAATGATTATTCAAGATTTTATAGTATTTCATAAAGACACCAGTCCCAAGATGTCGGAGTGCTATATGTGGTTGTAATAAAGCGTGAATGAATGTTATTCAAGATTTTATGGTATTTCATATACAACAGTCCCATGTCGGAGTGCTATATGTGGTTGTAATAAGCGTGAATGATTGTTCAAGATTTTATGGTATTTCGTCTACAACAGTCCCATGTCGGAGTGCTATATGTGGTTGTAATAAGTGTGAATGATTGTTCAAGATTTTATGGTATTTCCTATACAACAGTCCCATGTCGGAGTGCTATATGTGGTTGTAATAAGCGTGAATGATTATTCAAGATTTTTTGTTATTTTATATACAACAGTCCCATGTCGGAGTACTGTATGTGGTAATAATGAAGGTGAATCTTGTCCAACAGAGCAAGAAGATCCGGACCGTGGTGAAGACGGACTCCCTGTGGGGTCCAGACCGGATCCTTGACTCCGTGGATGCAGTGTTCACAGTCAACACCAAGAAGCATCTTCTCTCACTTCTCACCATGATCGGGCCCAGCCCGGACTGGTGTTTAGGTAAGACTGTTATGATTCCATCTTTTGAGTGATGAATCTGCCAACCCCATTTTTATGGAGAAAGATTTCCAAGGTCCATGGTTGCTTTTCTTTCCAACATGTCATACATGCAGAAGTATTTCCTTCCAAAACATCATACATCTGAAATATTTCTTTCCAACATGTCATAAATGCACAAGTATTTGCTTCCAAAATGTCATACATCTGAAATATTTCTTTCCAACATGTAATGTTAACACTATATGCTATCTTGCTATGAGTGGCCCAGTACCGGATAGCATTCAGTTGGAGAAGAGATTTATATCATAATACTCTCATAAGAGATTCATATCATAATCACACCCTCACTCCTCGCCATGGTTGGGACCAGTCTAGACTTGTGTTTAGACGGAGAGGCGAATCATATTAAAGACATAGTGAGATAATCGTTTAATCAAATACGTTCCACCTTCAACTCCAGTGAGGTCTTACCATTCCATAAACACTGCCCAGTTCCATGGTTTGGTTGGCACTTTGTTATACTGTTCTCATTTTACAGGAATTAGTGCCTTTGACATGTGCCAGAAGAACTGTTCCTGGGCCGACAGCCAGGAGATCGACCTGTACCCTTGGGATGCTGGTACCGACAGTGGAGTGTCATACGAGGTATGGGAATTGGAGTGATTGGGCTGGATTGTTGTTTAATGCCACACACAGCAATATTCCAGCTATATGGCGGTGGTCTGTAAATAATCGAGTCTGGAACAGACAATCCAGTGATCAACAGTATGAGCATCAATCTATGATCATCGATATGCTGACATGTGTCAACCAAGTCAGCGAGCCTGACCATCCCATCCTGTTAGTCGCCTCTTACGACAAGAATGTTACTAACCCATTCTAACCACAAAAATGTTTGTCAAAATGTTGGTTAACACATTAAAATTTGTTGTTAACTAGTTTACCAATATACTGATCCTAAAAAATGTGGGATAAAAACAAATGAGTTTTGATTTTGTCTCAACATTTGTATTGATTCCACACTCCATAAATTATGTTAAACTGTGAGACCAATGGGACAGAGTCAATCTCATTGATATCAGATTTTAGTTCTCATTTACACTAAAGATCTTTAAACATCCCATTATCAGTAACATCAGAATGACCTTTCATCTGACCAATCAGAGCACTGCTTACCAGATCAGGAAAGTGACAGTCAGAATGTGTTTATAATCATGCAACCTTAAAAAAGGTCAACAAGGATTATACTGAAGGACAGTTACGGTTTGTATGACTGATTCTGTCAATATCATCGTCAATCTGGATGAACATTTCAAATGGGAGACATTATTTCATACCTCATGGAATAAAAAGCACACATTTGGATAATGTCAACTTCATTTTATTGGTCAGTCAGTCTTTTGAACATGATCTCTAATGAGATGTCGACAGATCTTTGTTTAGCAGTAGCTAGAAGTGAGATCTTGAGTGAATGAGATTTGGATAGACATGCACAAGTCTCTAAGTTAATAATCAATAGTTTAAATGATAATATTAGCATTCAGTACAGCCTTGAAGCAAGGCTGAGATTTGGACTGACTTAAACAATATGGTGTACATGGCAATAATATGAATCCTTCTGTAGTCTAGCATAGAAATATGTGAAGTATTCAACTCAAGAAGGCCATAGGTTAAGTGTGTTCCTGCAGGGAACTGTGAACTACATGCAGCCCATGACAGAATAATACAGTGGACATGAAAAGTGATAAATGGTCCCAGTTAAATCTGATGTCCACAATGACAAGTATCAGTCTGTATCATCCATTAATTAGATTATTATCAGAGAATTGTTTTGTAAGTTTCAAATTGAATTGATTTTTTAACCTCCATGATTTCTTGTGTGTCCATGACCTCGTTGTTCGGAATCGGTATCACGTGTGTTAAGAACGCCTGTTCTTTAATGATTCCTGAAGCAATTCAGCTGTTCTCCTTGTTTTAAGTAAAGAAATATATTGCTTGGATGTCTAGACTGCCAATTCTACCTGTGACTTGTGAATGGTCCCTGACAAGCTCCTGTTCTGTTATCTGTGTACGATCTGATGAGAGTGGAGCCAAAAACAGCTTTATGATGCAGGGGGGTCGATGCGGAGTCAGACTCACGCGGAAGTAGACAGAACATACCACAGATATGTTCAGAATGACATAATGGTTAATTGATTGCAACCTCCCACTTCCGGAGAAATTAACTTTTTGTCAGTAAGTCAAATAGAATTGATTTGAGACGTGAAATGTCTTTGAAGGTTCCATTATAAATTCTTCTATTTTTAGAAACAAATTAGCCTTTGAGTCAGCATAATGGTTTTAGGATATGATATATAGTTTCTAAAATTTATTATTGGTGTTTGGTATTAGTATTCATTTTTTAAACGGGTACCAAAAATAGGGTTTAGTTTTCTAGAAAAATAACAGCTATATATTTATTGAAACTGTGACAAATTTGAGCAACTTTAGTTAAGTGAGTCTAAACGGAGACTCGTAGGACATATTTAGAACAGACTGCATCATAGATCTTCTGCAAATGTCAACCGGTGGAATGCAGTTTACTCTCTAACTAAAATCCATTGATTACATGAGCAAAGTGTCCTGACCTCTAAGCAAAGAGTCCCTTTAAGGGGACCTCAGCTCCTGTGTCCCAAGCTCATGTCCGCTTGAATGTCTTGACCGTATAGTCTCTGTGTAGACAATCATATACTTCAGAATGTTTTGTATGTTTTAAACAGAATCAGATGATCGAGATATTTTATGAAATGGAAATGGCTTTAACACATTTTTCTGCATTTACATCATTTTTGTCAGTTTGAGCTATATTATGATGGCCTGTAGATAATTAGGTTAAGCAATGACCAGTGAGTGGGCATACCGGTCTGCCCCCCAATCCACATTTTGTTGCCACTTACATCATGCAATAGATTACTGGAGACCTAATGCTACCAGGTCTCATAGGGGAATCCCGTTTTCAGCATGTGGAATATTTTCTAAACAAATTTAAACTTGATCATTTCAGTCTCCAAATCAAGAATCCGAACCAAAGGAGCAAATCCATTCAATCACCAACTCCATCATCAGAAATCGGGCTTCACCGTTCTTCGGGCCTAAGCCAATCAAACCGATGGGAAGGCTGATTCTGAAGAAAACATATGAAGCATGCTCCAGTGATCATGGCGAGACCAATTCGGCAGAGGAGTCACCCAGCACGGACGAACTGGTCAGCGAGATGAAGAAGAAGATGATGATGCAGAAGAAGCAACGTAAGTTGGGAACAGAGTGTGACAGTAATGTTTAGAGTCATAGTTTCAAGAGAGCAGAGTGTCAAAGGTGGTAACAGAGTATTACAGTTGAGAACATATGGTCACAGTGAGTTTGTCAGTTTAGTTTTACGCCGCACTCAGCAGTATTCCAGCTATATGGCGGAGATGGTCACAGATGGGTATAGAGTCACTATTTGGTATAGAGTCACAATTGGGTTTAGGGTCACTATTGGGTGTAGAGTCCCTATTGGGTATATCGTCAATATTGGGTGTAGAGTCACTATTGGGTGTAGAGTAACTATTGGGTGTTGAGTCACTATTGGGTATAGAGTCACTATTGGGTATAGAGTCACTATTGGGTATAGAGTCACTATTGGGTATAGAGTCACTATTGGGTGTAGGGTCACTATTGGGTGTAGAGTCACTATTGGGTGTTGAGTCACTATTGGGTATAGAGTCACTATTGGGTATAGAGTCACTATTGGGTGTAGAGACACTATTGAGTGTAGAGACACTATTGAGTGTAGAGTCGCTATTGGGTGTAGAGTCACTATTGGGTGTAGAGACACTATTGGGTGTAGAGTCACTATTGGGTATAGAGTCACTATTGGGTGTAGGGTCAATATTGGGTGTAGGGTCACTATTGGGTGTAGAGTCACTATTGGGTGTAGAGACACTATTGAGTGTAGAGTCGCTATTGGGTGTAGAGTCACCATTGGGTGTAGAGTCACCATTGGGTGTAGAGTCACCATTGGGTGTAGAGTAACTATTGGGTGTTGAGTCACTATTGGGTATAGAGTCACTATTGGGTATAGAGTCACTATTGGGTATAGGGTCACTATTGGGTGTAGAGTCACTATTGGGTGTAGAGTCAGCTATTGGGTGTAGAGTCAATATTGAGTGTAGAGTCGCTATTGGGTGTAGGGTCACTATTGGGTGTAGGGTCCCTATTGGATGTAGAGTCACTATTGGGTGTGGAGTAACTATTGAGTGTAGAGTCGCTATTGGGTGTAGGGTCACTATTGGGTGTAGGGTCCCTATTGGGTGTGGAGTAACTATTGGGTGTTGAGTCACTATTGGGTATAGAGTCACTATTGGGTGTAGAGTCAATATTGGGTATAGAGTCACTATTGGGTGTAGGGTCACTATTGGGTGTAGAGTCACTATTGGGTGTAGAGTCACTATTGTGTGTAGAGTCACTATTGGGTGTAGGGTCACTATTGGGCGCTATTGGGTGTAGGGTCACTATTGGGTGTAGAATCACTATTGGATGTAGAGTCACTATTGTGTGTAGAGTCACTATTGGGTGTAGGGTCCCTATTGGGCGCTATTGGGTGTAGGGTCACTATTGGGTGTAGAATCACTATTGGATGTAGAGTCACTATTGTGTGTAGAGTCGCTATTGGGTGTAGGGTCCCTATTGGGTGTAGGGTCAATTTGGGGTGTAGAGTCAATATTGGGTGTAGAGTCACTATTGGGTGTAGGGTCACTATTGGGTGTAGAGTCACTATTGGGTGTAGAGTCACTATTGGGTGTAGGGTCACTATTGGATGTAGAGTCACTATTGGGTGTAGGGTCACTATTGGGTGTAGAGTCACTATTGGGTGTTGAGTCACTATTGGGTGTAGGGTCACTATTGGGTGTAGAGTCACTATTGGATGTAGAGTCACTATTGGATATAGAGTCACTATTGGGTGTAGGGTCAATATTGGGTGTAGAGTCACTATTGGGTGTATAGTCAATATTGGGTGTAGAGTCACTATTGGGTGTAGGGTCCCTATTGGGTGTAGAGTAACTATTGTGTAGGGTCACTATTGGGTGTAGGGTCAATATTGGGTGTAGAATCACTATTGGATGTAGAGTCACTATTGTGTAGGGTCACTATTGGGTGTAGAATCACTATTGGATGTAGAGTCACTATTGGGTGTAGAGTCACTATTGGGTGTAGAGTCACATGAGACGAACAGACGGCATTAGGAATAAGAGTTGCCAAAGAGGGTTACAGTTGGGTATAGTCTCCTTTGGGCATCACTTGTCAGAGAGTGTTATACAGAATCACAGTTGAGTATAGATAGTGGATGAGACTTGGCACAGAGACTTAGAGTCAGGTACCGAGGCTCAGAGTTCAGTTCAATGGATGAGAGTAATTTGGAAGGGGTTAAGATGTTATATAAATGTGATGCTTTAGAAGGGAAGTTTAAACTACAAAGGGGATGCTGTGCCAGTAACAATACCAAGCAAACAATATTAGTTAAGATTTTCAGCTAAGCATCAAATTATTTAGGAGGGTTGTCAGAATTGCTTTCCATTTTCAAATTTATTAAGTATCAACTATTTTTTAGAAATGGAGAAATGTGCCACCAGTCAGTGGAACGAATGGGGAGAGTGCTCCAACCCATGCGGGAACGGTATGCGACAGCGCCGCCGGATGTTCAAGAACCCCGGCATCACGCAGTCCATGTGCAACGTGGAGATGATGGAGAAGGAAACATGTGTAGGAAACACAGGCTGCAACGCCAAACGTCGCAAGATGCAGAACTTCAAGTTCCGGCATTCGAAGGGGGTTGATGTCAACAACGTGTGCGCTGTGACACCGTGGTCTGACTGGTCACCCTGTAGCCGGACCTGTGGTCTTGGGATGAAGGAGAGGTGGAGGATGTTCCTGAGGAAATCCCATAGGACGGATGACTGTGGTGTACATCTCCAGGAAAAGGATCTCTGTAGAGGCACCATCCCAGACTGTGACATGGCAGCCAAGATGAAGAACTACACCGGTGAGTAGGGTACTTTTGTGGGTCATTATTGTCGGAGTAGGATTACTGTTGTTAAAAACACTTGTCCAGGGCCTCATTCCATTCCTGTATAACAAGGATCCTTGCCTTTAAGGCAGATCTTGGATCCATGACAGGGTGCCAGATTGTGACCAAAATGCTACGATAATTCCATTAACTTGAGCCCTGGTCCAATATTTAATGTCATCTGTATAACAAGGAACCCTTGGCTAGCCCTGGTCCAATATTTAATGTCATCTGTATAACAAGGAACCCTTGGCTAGCCCTGGTCCAATATTTAATGTCATCTGTATAACAAGGAACCCTTGGCTAGCCCTGGTCCAATATTTAATGTCATCTGTATAACAAGGAACCCTTGGCTAGCCCTGGTCCAATATTTAATGTCATCTGTATAACAAGGAACCCTTGGCTTTAATGCAGATCTTGGATCCATGACAGGTTGCCAGATTGTGACAAAAAAATGCTACAATAATTCCATTAACTTGAACCCTGGTCCAATATTTAATGTCATCTGTATAACAAGGAACCCTTGGCTAGCCCTGGTCCAATATTTAATGTCATCTGTATAACAAGGAACCCTTGGCTAGCCCTGGTCCAATATTTAATGTCATCTGTATAACAAGGAACCCTTTGGCTAGCCCTGGTCCAATATTTAATGTCATCTGTATAACAAGGAACCCTTGGCTAGCCCTGGTCCAATATTTAATGTCATCTGTATAACAAGGAACCCTTGGCTAGCCCTGGTCCAATATTTAATGTCATCTGTATAACAAGGAACCCTTGGCTAGCCCTGGTCCAATATTTAATGTCATCTGTATAACAAGGAACCCTTGGCTTTAATGCAGATCTTGGATCCATGACAGGTTGCCAGATTGTGACAAAAAAATGCTACAATAATTCCATTAACTTGAGCCCTGGTCCAATATTTAATGTCATCTGTATAACAAGGAACCCTTGGCTAGCCCTGGTCCAATATTTAATGTCATCTGTATAACAAAGGAACCCTTGGCTAGCCCTGGCCCAATATTTAATGTCATCTGTATAACAAGGAACCCTTGGCTAGCCCTGGTCCAATATTTAATGTCATCTGTATAACAAGGAACCCTTGGCTAGCCCTGGTCCAATATTTAATGTCATCTGTATAACAAGGAACCCTTGGCTAGCCCTGGTCCAATATTTAATGTCATCTGTATAACAAGGAACCCTTGGCTAGCCCTGGTCCAATATTTAATGTCATCTGTATAACAAGGAACCCTTGGCTAGCCCTGGTCCAATATTTAATGTCATCTGTATAACAAGGAACCCTTGGCTAGCCCTGGTCCAATATTTAATGTCATCTGTATAACAAGGAACCCTTGGCTAGCCCTGGTCCAATATTTAATGTCATCTGTATAACAAGGAACCCTTGGCTAGCCCTGGCCCAATATTTAATGTCATCTGTATAACAAGGAACCCTTGGCTAGCCCTGGTCCAATATTTAATGTCATCTGTATAACAAGGAACCCTTGGCTAGCCCTGGTCCAATATTTAATGTCATCTGTATAACAAGGAACCCCTAGCCCTGGCCCAATATTTAATGTCATCTGTATAACAAGGAACCCTTGGCTAGCCCTGGTCCAATATTTAATGTCATCTGTATAACAAGGAACCCTTGGCTAGCCCTGGTCCAATATTTAATGTCATCTGTATAACAAGGAACCCTTGGCTAGCCCCTGGCCCAATATTTAATGTCATCTGTATAACAAGGAACCCTTGGCTAGCCCTGGTCCAATATTTAATGTCATCTGTATAACAAGGAACCCTTGGCTAGCCCTGGCCCAATATTTAATGTCATCTGTATAACAAGGAACCCTTGGCTAGCCCTGGTCCAATATTTAATGTCATCTGTTTAACAAGGAACCCTGGACCAATATTAAACGCCATCTATATTACAAGAAAACCTTGGCTTTTTAGTACAGACCCTGCACCTATGCCAGATTGCCAGATTGTGACAACATGCTACAATAATCTCACTGACTTGTGCCCTTCTTCCAGCCATCTGCAACGAGGATGCTGATACTGGTCCGTGTCGGGGTATGTTCATCAGGTGGTTCTACAACGCTTCCATGCAGAAATGTCAAGCATTTACCTATGGAGGTTGCCGTGGAAACGAGAACAAGTTTGACACACAGGAGGAATGTGTGGAGCTGTGTGCTGAACACATGAGTAAGTTCTATATGTCAACAAAATGTCAACTTTGGAATAGTGATCATAAATTTCAGTTCCAGTGAATGTTAGGTAACTGGATTCTGTCAGTTTCATCCATTTTCACAAGAGTTTCAATGGTACAAGCCAGGAGCGGATATAGCTTTTTAATAAATCCATTTTCAGAGAGCAATGGTGCACCTCCCTGCACCCCCCTTCTGGATCCACCTATATAAGCCCTTTTACAGTGTCCATAACCTTGATGTGATTGTAATACTGCTCAAAATAACTGCATAATTACTCTATTATTAATATATTTTGGTGATTATGAATTTTTCAACGCAGGGATTTTTTAGTTGAATATATATATTTGAAAACTTATCACTAGCTCAAGAAAACAACAGTAGGTCACTATGACCTACTTTCAGTGAGAAGCGTATGCTATAGTTTTATTGTTTCTGGAAAACAGTTCTTGAAATGCTTGCAGCTGATCCTGAAGGTCAAATACACTCTCAAGGTCATACACTGAAAACAGTGTCATGTTCATGATGATATTTACTGTTGTCTGATGAAATTTGGTATGTATCATCTTTAGGTTGGGAGGCTGACATGATAGTGTCCTTGAGTAACCTTCATTGAAGGTCATGGTTGCTTAAGTGGCCATTTTGCCCCAATCTTTGAAAATTATGATAAAACAGATACCATCAACAGTAATGCATGTTTTTGTGAACTGCAGTGGAGGTGAATCGAAAGCAGATGATGATCGAGAAACAGATGATGATGAAGAAGCAGATGATGCAGAAAGAGTTGATGCAGAAGCAGGAGATGATGAAGAAACAGGCTATGATGAAGAAACAGCGAATGGAAGCTGAAGAAGAGAGGGAAGGACAGTCACTGACATTCTCACACATGGACCTGAAGACGCTCATGATGAAGAAGAAGATGATGCAGCAGTCGGCCAACTTGAAGATGGAGAGGGCGCTTTCAGACGAGATCAAACGGAGGAGGAAGGAGAGGCGGATGATGAAGCAGAAGAAGAAGATGGAGAGGAGGAAGAGGCGACACAGGAAGGAGCATTCGAGGTCAGGGGTTAACTGCATGGTCACCCCCTGGTCTGATTGGTCGGAATGTTCGGTCACGTGTGGGAAGGGCATGATGACCAAGTCGAGGATGATCAAGGTGCAACCACAGAATGGTGGCCGGAAGTGCCCAAGGAAACTCGTGAAGAAGAAGAAGTGTAAAGTGGATAGATGCCGTAAGTAGCTCTGAGAAGCATCCTTGGAAAGGGGGGTTGCAGAAGTGACCATTGTCTTCATCTCTTTTTCACAAACTTAAGCAGCAACCATCAAGATGGCACTTCTGAAACTGGACGCAAGTTTGGTATAGATCTCTATTCAAATTCTCAGCTATATTGAGCTTTCGATATATTTAATCAAAATCAGAAAGTTGCTATCAATGGAAGTATACTTTCCAGTATTTGAGAAGGCAAATTTATATCAAATTCAGTGATATTGTCACTTGTTTCGATCATCGCAATTTGATTTGTTTGGCATGAAGTTCCAGGGTATTTTATATAATAGAAATGAGATATGATCCGCAAGAGCTGATGATATTGTTGCTTGTTTCAGTCAGGAAAGAATACTGCAAATTGACTGGCCTCTATTTTTAGCAAACCATCAAACTGGAATAAAACTAATTCTGGCAAGAGGTTCATGGATATTTTATACAACAGAAACGATACACTGGATAATTAAAGATGATATTAATGTCTGTGAATGATCTGTTCTTCAGCTATTGACTGTGAGCTGAGTCAGTGGGCAGACTGGCAGGAGTGTTCAGCCACATGCGGCAAGAAATCTGTCCAGGTCCGGCGCCGGAAGGTCCTGCAGAAGGCCAAACATGGCGGTACTCCCTGTGCAGCTCGGAGGGAGAAGAGGTTCTGCAGTTTGCCGATGTGCCCCAATGAAGATGTATGAGTCTAACTGTATATTATAGATGAAGCTAGGAGAATATAAACCTGCTTTATGACACAACACTGTAGGTAGGGTGACGATTCCACTCCGTAATAATGGTCATCAAGGCAGTGACAGATGAAAGCAATTCAATCTCTCCCCAAACATTTGCATCCATCCAAGTCTGTTTCTATTTTCTGCATGGCATGAATTAAATACATTGCAGGAGCATGTAACTTAAGTTTTACTTTTTCTAAGAATCTTTCTAAATCCAAACATTTAGCCCTATTTCTGTTGCTATCCTTATTTCAGCTGTTCCTATGACATGCTGGTTAGCCGTGCTAATTCTGTTTGCTTAGATCAATGTCTTTTGCATGAATATTATAAAATTAGTTGTGTGACTAATATTACATGGTGCTATATCTATGGTGAAACTAGTAATGGCGGACATCTTGATGGAAATAATAATAACACAAATATATAATATGATCTCATTATTACATTTTTTTAGTGTAATATCTGTGTTTTCTTTGGATGTTGAAATTCTTGCTTTTTAGATGGCTTCTGTGTTTTGATCGCTTTTCTGTTTGTTGTCCAAATACTGTACTTTTAACCCTTTCAAAAGCAGTTTCTACTCTAACAGCACAGTATTGTGTAGTTTGTAGACAGTCACTTTTGGAAAGGTTAAACTGTGTGTGGCATAATGTCTCATGTTGCAACCAAAGACATGGCACCATGGGTAATATCATTGACGCAATGTCCAGGATGGGAATAATATGGGTTAATTTATGTACTTTTTCAGCTGGAGAAGGATATGCGTAGGTTTATGCTCTTCCATCGGCGCTACTAACCAATCAATGTTTGCGCTCCTGCAACCATGTGACCTCTAGTAACCAATCGGCAGCAAGACTTCAATACATCGTGCCTTGACCTCTCATAGGGAAGAGGCCACTATCTTGCCAAGCAAGAGCAAGTTATCATATCAGAAACTCAGTCTTGTGAACATAGAGGACCGGTGCTTCAGTGTGTGCAACTGATGAATTTCAGAGCGTCTGTTGCCGAAACTCAACAAGACTTCCAGTTAGTTCAGTAGATGGTCCACTGTTGGAAGACTGTTGGCTGACCTGCCTTCTGTACATAGATGTACCTTGTGTCTGTTTGTGCCTTGTTAGAACTGTGACAATGTGTTCATGCATGCATCTAGCTCCGTATCCCGACGCCAGGCCTGCCTGTATATGCTGCCCCCCACCTAGCATCATGCAGGTGTGCGATACTAACCCAGCGCTCTGCATGTATTTAATGCCACCTGTACCAGCAACCTAAATGCTTGTCCACTACCTTGTGTTCCAATTTAACAGGTTATGTGCCTTAAGTACATTACAAAGCGGTATTGAATGACCAAAATGATATTTTTAAGTAAAAAGCAATGAATTAGCATTGTGTAACTTTTCAAGTTCAAGGATGAATTGATTTCTTTCATTCAATAATCTACTATCTGCACTGCATTTTCTTTAAGAGTAAGTGACATTTTAAGACTGAGTTAATACTCTCAGCTATGACAGTAACAGCAATCACTCCATGTGCACCATGCACCGCCAACATATCCTGTCACTGCACTACACCATTTGTTGCTTAGCTGGTCTAAGGGAGGTAACTCCAAATATGCAGATTCACAGCAATAATGTCCGAACCTATAGCTAGGTTCCTTCTGTGCACGTTCACGAACTGCATAAGCATATTTGTATTGCCGATACTTATTACAAGGATAATTTGTTATCCATGTTTTTAAATACCATAATATGATGTTTTTATGGGTCACAAGATTTTCTTCATTTTGAATCACAAGTTCTGTATCAGGGATTTTACTGTCTGTTTAATGTAAACTTAATCATAATTTAAACTCTGATTTTGTTCACTATCCTTATCCTAAGACTCTAACAGATATATACTGACTGCAAGCTTTACTAAATTCACTTGATACATCGTGTGTTAATAATAAGTATTTTCTTGAATAAATATGACTTATTATAAAAGATGTTCTAGCATATTTTGCATCAACAATTTCTCTTAAGTACATCTGCTTGAAGATTAAAATCTTTATGTTCTAGGGTTTTTACATGAAATATCAGCTAAATTTCAAAATAAAACTGAATAATAAATATTTTCCTGATGTCATCATATCAATGCTTGATTTCTAATCCAGCAAGCTCACAAAATAACTGTCAACTGAAGATACTCTACAGTGTTCAATCCACAGCACGTACAATAGTTACCCTAATAATATACACGCTTACTTAAAACATACCTAAAATGGTACTTTGGATAAAGACTACTTTGGTCGTGAGCAAATGTTGAGTAGTTGATTAGAATCATATTATCTAAACCCATTGCTTTGATGTCTGTAATTTGACTGGGTTCATTTGCTTACTCCTTTAATTTGAAAATGTCCTTCCTACCTATTTGAATTATTAGACTGATTACGGTTGTCAGTTGTTTTATATACTGAAACCAGGAAGTAGAACATGTCAGCTGAAAAAGTTGCCGTCATTGTTCTGTAGGTATGGGGTAATGACTGAAATTTCAACTTACAAATCGATGATGTGTTGATTTTTTTAAAGGGGCTCATCATATTTGAACTTGTATATGAGTTTTTAGTGACAACAATTGCACTCCGAAGTGTTTCATTATGTCTCATTCAATAATTTTTTAAAACAATTATCAATAAATTTATGTTATTTCGGTGTATGACATATATCGTACATTGGTGATTGATGTGGAAATTGTAAATGTATTTTTTAAAATGATGTCATGCAATCAAATCAGGTCGGACATACTGTTACTACAGTTTAGGTTCTTCTTATATCAAATTTAGTATTTGCAAAGTGATTAGTTTTCAGGACAACAGCACCTGTAACTAGGGAAGACCCACTCTGTGTTTATGCAGTCTCTTAGGGATGAGACTCGACTCACCTGATACCCCTGGTTCAAATAATGAGATGTTCCTTTGCTTTGATGTGAATACTGATTGTTTGATGATATTTTCACCTATGGAATAGGGTATTTTCCTTCAGAGAAAAGATTCTTTCATTATTTCTAGGATGGTAAGGTGTGCTTTGAGGCAGGTGGTCCTCGTCAAGTTGTAAAGTGCTTTCATTGTATATTGTAGATAGAAAAGTTGTTATTGAACATTGATGTACATTGTTTTAGAGAGGGTAGATATTAAGCCAGCTTCCTGCATCATTCCAATTCAGTTGTTAGTTACTGTATTCAACATCTTAAGCATCCCTGGCTCAAAGTGTCTTTGTGTTGGCTACCAAACCCATTTTATTCTAATGAGATAAATCTTTATATATTTAAAAAATAATTTTTACAAAAATATGAAAATTGTCACTACAGGGTGGAAACCTCTTAAACTTACAGGGTACTTGAAACAAAAATTTAAAATCTTGTAACACTTAGCGGTGTGGGGCTTAATAGATTGAATACGGTACTTGAGTTTGATTGCTGAAATCATTCTTTTTACATCTGAGTGATATGGATCATAATTTGATGAAAGGTTGTTATCTCATGGAACTGATCATCATTGTTCATCATGAAGATCAAGAAGACACAGTGTGATGAAACAAGTGGTTGATAGTGTGAGTACTCATTCATTGCCTGGGATATGACACTGAATGGTCAGCGTTCTGTGTTATTGATCCAGGTTTCACACCATCCATCACATGCAGCCATTGTGACCACATAATCCACCATTTTTCTCACAACTGGCTCTGGATTGTAGAGATCAGACCACACAACCGACTTCTTGACCTGGAACCTTAGAGCAACCAACAAGACAACTCATGATGCATTTCAAGCATATTCAGAAATTAACGGAATGGCTACAGCAATTGAATATTTCATCATAAAAGAAACATATAATTTAAAATTGCAAGAAATTCCTATATTAATTAATGGTGCAGTAGTTAAAAATCAATTTATTTACAAAACCTTGGATATGAAGAATTATTTATATGTGAATGTCCATTTAATATTTTAAAATATTTACAAAGAATGTCCATCTAGAATAAAAGTAGATTTTTTCTGCACAAAGATTAGAATTACAAAAGCTTTGCTTTATATTGCAGTCGCTGGCTACAAGATTGTATATATGTGTTGTGCTTCTGCCCAAGCTGTGTAAGAGATACCTCACTACTAGATATTTATTGATGTTTATGGTATATTTGTATTACCACTGGTGCATTTAATGTCACTGTCGCTCTGATAGCCACATACTATTTGGCTACCACTCATTTATTCTTGTAGACATTTTATACAAAAGTTGTAAAATAATATAACTAAATGATATTGTTCCACCATTAAAATATCCCGTCATTTGTTTTAATTTTGAAAAATAAAATCTAAAATTTGAAAAAATTATTCATGACTGCTTATAATTTAAGGCCTTTGAAATATTTAAGGCCTAAATTGCCGTACCGATTGTATTGAAATATAGTTTGCATAAACAATTATTTATTTTTTTTATAGTATTTAATAAATGTGGTAGCTACTCTTTTTGAGTGTGTGTTTATGATTAAAAAGGCCAAAGATTAATAGATCTCGACTTTGAATTTGAAATATCTTTTTCTGGAGAGAAAAATGACAACTCTTACCTTTCTTTAAGGTAAAGTGTACAAAAATTATGACTAAATTGAAATATGAACGAGCAATAAATGTATATGCCAGTTTGATAGGGTGATGCCCTCTGTACATTATGTGGTCAATATTTTGTTATGTAAATGTGATATTGAACTGTACCACTTACAATAAAATAATAAACAAAATACTACCAAGTTTGTTGACATCTTATTTTTTCTTACGTTCATTTTCAGCAATTTCATAAATAATTGCTAAAATTTGAAACAAATCAGCAAAAAGCAAACATATTTTTACTCACCTGGATAAAAGGTCCAGGTTTTGTTACAATGACATGCATTAAAACAGTTAGTGAGCCTCTCCACCCTATCCCATTAGTCTCGTTCAATGACAAGCATGGGTTGTTGAAGACAAATTCTAACCATGATTACACAATGCCATTTAGAAAGTGGTCAAATGTAACATATGTTATATTTGGGATTACACTTTCTTCGTAAAGTACAGATTCATCCGGGATTCGAACCCACACTCTCAGAGTCAGGCACCTAATCGCCAGCACACAAAGTCAGACGCCTAGACCGCTCAGCTACCGTTTCCGTGGGGAAGTTGCGGTGGCTGAGCGGGTTAGGCGGCTGACTTTGTGTGCTGGCGATTAGGTGCCTGACTGAGAGAGTGTGGGTTCGAATCCTGGATGGGACTCAACCCCAAAAAGTACTAGAATCTGTACTTTTACTCAGAAAGTGTAATCCCAAATATAACATATGTTAAATTCTAACCAGGACCTTCACAGGTTTCAAGGGTCCAATTAGAAAAAGCGGGACATGTTGCAAAAACACTTTCCTCATTTCATGGCTAAGAATTTCATGACTGAATTTTTGTTAACATGAGATTCAAACAACAGCAATCTTGTATACATAAGCCGAAGTCAGTCAATGAGAAGTTGATTGGTGTAGCAAACTGATCCAATTAACAAACCAGCACGGCTCACACCTTTCCGCCATTGACGGGTGAGTTCAAAAGGCAGAATAGTGATTTTACAGAAATCACTGTCTGTGCTAATCAGACTGGAACTGATAAGATGCCCCTATTAGTGATATGGAAATCATTAGATAAACAAATGCTTAGGCGAAGGAATTAGGACTGGATCATCTTCTTTTCTACCCTCATAGACATACCTATGTCTCGAATACATCGATAAGTCGAATTTATTACTTGGTCCCCAGCGATTCGACTCATCGGGATTTGACTGTACTATTACAAAAAAGTAGGGGAACCTGAACTTTCAATTTGGATAGGAAGTATAAGGCTTAACAAACCTTTCAAAGACAGACATCTTATGAACGCGCCACCACTTCTCTTTACCACCACCCCTAAACACAACGCATGGGATGCATGTGCACAACGCAGTAGCCCCATACACGTGCATGGGGTGTCATTACTGGTTTTGACATTTTTCAAGAAGTTTGATTAATCACTGTAGACCATTAATTTGACAAGCATTTTGCATCACACAGTTGTTAGTGTTTGTTTGTAGCCATTTGTTTTGTTTGAAAATGAAAATGATACACATGCAAATTTCACGTCATACACCAATCATCTTTTCAAGAGCGATTACTGTACAAACAACTATGGTCGTAAGGAAGTGCAAGTGGTGAGGCACTCTAAAACATTCATTATTAGCATATCAACATTGATTGGCTCCTATATATCTAATTTTCAATCTCCTATATATTTTTTCAGTGGTAAATAAAGAATGAATTTCCCCTATTTTTTTAAAGAGTATACTTTGAATCTGAGCAACAGTGCTATGGGACATGTTCCTTCCCCAACAACATGTCCAGTCAAGCAAGATGATGTTACTGGAGCATGAAAACTGTACAGTGTTTCTTCAAACCAGGGTCCCAATCCACAAAGCCTTTGTAGTACCATGAGTTACGACAAGTCGTAACATTAAGCACACTTTGTGGATCGGGATCCAGGCACATAGCTAGTCTAGATATGAACTGATGATTTTTGAGTTTGGTATATTTTGAAAATTATTTTTATATTTGAGTTTCTATAGCAACAACAATGACCAAGACTAACATTGAGGTAGTTGTGCCATCAACAAATCATGTTGACATATCCACAACTAGCATTTAGCATTGTGGGGGATATTGATGACTGATTCCTTGTTTTTCAATAACAACACAAAATTAAATGCAATCATCATTTTATTTCATTTGTATAAGTAAACAAATCATGATAAGTACATTCAACATCTTTGGGGCAAAGTGAATATCAAACAGGCACTCAGTTATGTATATTTCAAACTTCAACAGACTCAATAACACCGTAACCATATATATCCATAGCATATAAATAATCAAACTGACCTTGTTTAAGGAGGACAAGTTTCATGGATAGACAACTTCTTTATTCTGTATAGGGGACGTTTCGACTTGTTTGACAACATTAGGATCTATGTTGAAACGTCGCCTATACAGAATAAAGAAGCTGTCTATCCATAAAAATTGTCCTCATTCCTCATCTCCTTAACTTCTAGAATGACGATCAAAGAACTGACCTTGTTTGTTACAGTAAATCTTATCATCGTATAAATCCAATGGCATAGCTGTTCAAACAAATGCCCAGTCCAGTGTCCCAGATCAGCAACATTTTCTGAAGGATTGGCTGTTTATTTTCTCTAATGGTTCACAGAACTAGGCATAATAAATCCCATAAAACAAAACTGAAGTTGGAGATAGCAGCTGGGCTCATTTGGTGCTTGTGTAGACTGCTTTCTTCATATCCATCTTTTGGGCTGACCTGAATACATGACCTTGAAATTGACCTCTATTTACATATGACCTTGAAATTGACCTCTATTTACATATGACCTTGATTTTGACTTGTATTTACAAATGACCTGATTACCTTTATTTAACAGTATTTCTTAGAATTATCAGAAACTAATTCCTGAGTTAAATTTTGGTAGAAAATAACCTCTAATTTCATTATTTTTGACAATTATGGTCAACACACGAACTGTAGGTTTGGTTAACCAACTAACTTCATTTGGCATAGCTTCATTGCTTTTAAAAGTAACAAGCCTTCTGGAGCTTGTAAGAAGCTCGAATATATGAACCATGGTTCCTAATTATGAGCAAGATATGACTTCATGTACACCAAGAATGTTTGGGAAGATGGTGACGCCGACGGTATTGATAGTGATGAGAATCCACACAAGGGTTTCTGCTGAATGACCAACAGTGATCAACACTCAAGTCCAAGTAGACACATTTGTCTCTTTCCTAAATGCCAGGCTGTGAAGGGACAGCATGAACTGTACTGACCATGCTTTGAACACCAACCATAAAAGACATTTTTGTCTTCTTTAATCACTATAGTTCAGCCAGGAACCATTTTAGTTTGATGAAAAGCTGAACCTATTTCCTTTAAGAATGTTAAACTTGCAGTATTAAATGATTTAGATGATGATAGTAAAGGTCTTGGCTTTATAGAATTGGAACATGCAGTTGGACCCCTTGTGGTGTTTAAGATAGGTTTCTGGAATATCAAGGTCTTGATTATGGAGGTGCCACTGTATTATGTAGCATGCCTGGTCATATCACACTGTAATTTATTTTTATACTTCAAAAATGTCACTGCAGATGTGCAAAGTATACAGTCAGTCAATATGCTTAATATACTGGTCCGTAGAATGTCAATTAATGACTGACTTCGAGTATCTTTATTCCACAATAAGTGGAAGAAGTCAGAAATTAATCTTCACATGAAACATTACATAGCTGTTGTCCCTTCCTATTGAACACTGGCAGATAGTACAGTCATGCACAAAAATAACTGCCTCCTTGAACTGTTCTCCAAGAAATGTCAGATGTATCACGTTCCAGTTTTTAGACAGGAAACATTGTGTGAAGACATCATCCCTTGATGTTCTCAGCTGTTCACATGAACATGGATCTTGGTTCCTGAACTGCTTGACACTGGTGTATTGTGGGATTGCCGAGTTGACTGGAAGCGAGACGGGCCAGTTGACAGTGAGAACTCATAAGGGTCCATACTGTTTGTGGCTATTCTTAGTCTGTCAGCTGAAAGGAGAGAATGGATCATATACACTGTGAGGTGAAGAGAATGGCTCTGACATACACTTATAGAGGTATGTATGTATACAGAAGTATAGATATGCTTCAAGAACAGACACTAGTCTCTTCCTTGGTTTCAGCCAGTCAGGTATGGTGACAGACTACACCAGCCAGATCATAGTCAACGGCAGTGTTTAAAACTCCCAAAATCCCAAGCCAGACAGCTGGACTGGTAACTTAAAAATAATTACCAGTCTGGATACAAACTTGCCTGTCCGGTTTTCAACAATGAAAAACAAAAAAAAAATCAGGTTTCTGAATACTTTACTGTGTAGGCATCGCAATGAACAACAAAGCACTAACAGGCAATGCACCCAGTTTAGGTAAACTGAAAGTACATGTGTTGTGATTGGTTATTGTAAAATGAACTGTCCAATCGTAAATAGTTTAACATAATTATCATAGTACCTTAAACACAGCAAACTGACGACAAGAGAACTTGTCTGATGTTATGATATATTTACTGTTAGGGGTGAAAACATCTGCCAGACCACCGGACAGGCTGCTTTTGAAATTTGACCGTCCGAGATGAAAATAGACTGTTCCGGATGGTCGGGCAGGTGGAAATTTTAAACGCTGGTCAACGGGTTGTTTGACAATAGTTGTCAAAAGACCAAACACTATCTACATTAAGCATAGACAAGTAATGTTCCTTTTTATGTCAAAATACCTTCAGGGAAGACACATGGGGTATAGGGCATCTATTCTGCCCCAGAGTCCAGTAAAGGAGGTGAACAAGAGTACCAGGTACCTTTTCTGTCCAAGATTTCTTATGCTGGGAGAAGCAAGTGTAGTGGTGGCTATTCTATCTCAGCTTCACCATAGAGAGGCAAGCGAGGGGAAGTCAGGACGTTTCCTGCACAAGAATTCACATAGCAAAACAAGCAAAGGTACTAGGAACTTGTTCTGTCCAGGTAAGGAAACAACGAGACATGCGGCAGTACTATTTTCAGTTCTGGAATTCACACACCAGTAGTGAGATCCTCCGACACTCCCCTGTGACTGCTCAGATGACCACAAACAGTAAGACCTAAGTCTAGATATTCCAGACGCACATATCACACAACAATACTCACATATTTTGGCCTCTGAATGAGAGCTGGTGGCAAGGTCCTTCCATGTTGTCCAGTAGCTGAAACAAAGACAACAGATTCTCTTGTACACCAGTTTAAAAGATGTAGATGTGAACCAATAACAAATATTGACCGATGCAATACTACAAATAACTCCAGTCATTTAATCACATTTGACATTTTTTAAAGAAGACAGGGGATTTAATTAAATCATTCCTGAAAATAAAATAATTTATCTCTGGCTTAACAAACACAAAACCTTGATGCTAATTATACTGTTCTCGGTCCACACAATACCATCTGGCTCCTTCCAGTGCAAGACATCCCAGGTGCCATAAGACTAATTAATGGTTTAAAACAAGAAAAAGGTTGTCATTCTTTCACTGAAGAGATGACTGATCTAGCATGATGACAAGCGACATACTCATCAAAGTTGAGACTGGTGGTCCAGTCCAGCAGCTCGTCCACCTCCCATTCTTCCAGTGCGTCTGCTCCGGACGCTTCCACGGTCGCCACCATCCCAGCTGCAGCGCCCTCTATCAGCTTCACGGTCTCGTAGTCATCAGCCTTGGCCTTCAACATGCCATCATGGTACCTGCCAACAAACGTATGGCATTGTGGACATATATTTTTGGTAACATTAAACATATGTATTAGTAAAAATGAAATTTATCATATGAATGAAAAATATACCTGATTCTCCACACAAAGTTTTCAATTTTCTTGTGAAGAAGATATCCAATCAGACAAATATCTTAGACCCATAACCTATCAGAGGTCTATCATAACGTCTATCAAAACATTAACAAAGCATTTCTATCTCATGAGCTTAAAATCAACGTCCAATCAAACTGACTCTTCTGAACAAGCGCATGGCACAAATCTAATTTAGAACCAGGACCTGGTCCATTCAGACCTTCAGGTGGAGTTTGGCACAGATCTTAGTTCAGAATTTGAACTTTCTTGGAGCAAACCCACAAATACATTTCTTGAATCGGAAGACATATATACATTATCTTTCAGCAGTTTGTTCCCGGTCAGTTAGGTGTGGGAAGGAAGTCCTTAAGCTACCAAAGCATGCTTTGTCTGAAGATGGTATGAAGCAAGATGAGGCCAGTACTGGTTGTGTCAATGCTGGCTTCAGCCACAAAGGAATAGTGTAGTTTTGAGAGTATGGTTATTTCAAGGGTCATGTCATTCGAAACACTCTCTAAATGATGACGGCAAATGGTTCTGGGTATCTTTGAAGTCGAATTGTGATGTAATTTGGCACTTTGGATAACAGTGGATGCATCATCCAAAACTTACATCTTCTTCATCCAGTTTATCTTCTTCTGTTTCCTCCTCTTCTCAACATCTTGTTTCCTTGCCAACTGAAATCAGGACAATATTCCAAATCACACACAATGAGTCTTCTATGATGCTTCAATTTGTAATGAAGATGTGCATCCTTCAGGAATACCAGAATCCTAAGATCATCAGTTCAAATCCAAAGCCTGATTCTGATCCTCAGTTTAGATACTCAGCCTCAGTTCAGGCAGTCACCGCAGCATCAACTGATGGTCAACCTGTTATGGAACTACAGTACCAACCGACACGAGCCATATGGTCACTATACCACAAACATTTAGGAATCCTGTTGGGAACAAAATGGTGGCTGATGTGACATGGGGCCAAACTGAAAAGGGTAATTTCGACATTGATCATATCTGACTTCTTTGAAGTGACTGGTTACCTTATCATGGTGGAATTCATATTTCTTGTTGGATGTCTGCCATGTGACTGGGTCAGACATAATGTGATGGATCAGACGATCAGACACTAGACGCCAGCCATTGTTCTCAACTCTCTGATACCATCCATCTTTGTCTGGAAAGGATCAACACAACATAAAATGAATGTTTGTTGTTAAACACTGCCATTAGCCCTAGACCAGCCATATCATGGCACCATACAAACTAGTGCTTGATATTATGAGCAACTCAAATAAATGAATATCCATAACCATTAGTCGCCCCTAACAACAGGGTATGTTCTACCTTGTGACCCAAATCATATTTGTGTGGTGTGCATGATTTGGAATGAATAATGCTACTTCACATTTTAATATTTCTCTACACAGTAAATGCTTCACAAATCTCAGCACAAGCACTTGTAAATGTGGGTGGTGGGGTAGCCTAGTGGTTACAGCTCAGCTGTCATGCCCAAAACCCGGGTTCAATTCCCCACATGGGTACAATGTGTGAAGTCCATATCTGAAGTGTTCCACTGTGATATTTTTAAAATATTGCCAAAAGCTGTGTAGAAAACCTCACTCACTCACAGACTCACTGAGTAGCGCTAACATAGCTTTGTGAGTATGAGCCCTTAATAGAAAGCCTTAATACATCATACTCTTTCTGGAAATCTCACATTGTTTCATGTCACAAACAAACAAACAAAATTTTAATGAAATATACTTCTCAAAGACTTAAAGAACATCCGAACTCATATAGCGATAGTTTATCCATCATGCTGAAATATAAGCTGAAATGTTTAAACCAAACAATGCACAAACATACCGAACTAAACCTTGCTTCATCTAACAATTATCTAAAAAATATATCAAAAGCTTAAAATGCAATGAAAATTGCATTTATTTTTTTTCTGTCTGAATGGTCTGTGGGTCTGCCTTTAACAAAGAATTGGAAAAAACAAACTGCTACATTTATCTAAAAAGAGCAGTAAAGAAACGAAACCAATGATTATTCTGCGTCTACAGTGTTCCACTGACCTGCGCCCGGCCCAATCACTGGCCTGTTTTTGGTGTGTTTGTCCTTGGCCTTGGTATGCTTGGCCTCTGGTCGCGTGTAATCTTTTGGGCTGTTGGCACACATGTCGACGATGTTGCGGTGGGTGAAGATCTTGTAGTAGATGTTTGGAGGGAATCTCTCCTGTGAGGATGTGAGGTAGCTAATATTACTCCTTACAGTGATGCTGCTACAGTTTGTGTCCAGGCTTAAACATAGCCTCATCTACAGGCTAGATCTAAGTGTTTGCCACTAATGTGGCAATGTCCCACGCCGCTAAAGAAGAACGAAATATTTATAACATATTTACTAAGAAGGTCAAGGTCACCAAAATCGGCTGGTGTCTGCGTAATCTCCTAATGTAGGCTGTCACCAAATTTGAAGACATTGGGTACAACAGTTCATGAGATACCGCGTTAACAAGAGGTTGAAAAGTGGTCAAAGTGTTGTTATGACCTTGAAATTATGGGCAAGGTCACCAAAACCGACTGGTGTCTGAGTGATCTCCTTAATGTAGGCTGTCACCATATTTGAAGACATTGGGTACAACAGTTCATGAGATATCGCGCTAACAAGAGTCTGAAAAGTGGTCAAAGTGTCGTGGTGACTTTGAAATGAAGGTCAAGGTCACCAAAACCAACTGGTGTCTGCATAATCCCTCAATGTAAGCTGTCACCAAATTTGAAGACATTGGGTACCACAGTTCATGAGATATCGCGTTAACAAGAGTTTGATAAGTGGTCAAAGTGCCATGATGACCTTGAAAATAAACAAAATGCAAGTTATTTTGTATGGTTTTAATAAGCACCCTATTTGTCAATCTAAGCATCAAGTGGGCTTATTATGGTAAATATGATATGCACATATTCTGTGATCTATATGATGATAATAAAATATACCAAATGTTCATCATTGAAACAAATGAACAAGCATTAGGGGAGGGTCAACATACAAGATAGGGAAGTCAAGATTCTTGTTAATTACACAAATGAACATTCCCTGTGCACCACAACCTCACAATATTGACCATCAGCTATGAATACACAATGCCATTCAGAAAGTGGTCAAATGCAACATATTTCATTTGGGATTACACTTTTTCAGTAAAGTAACGATTCTAGTACTTTTAATCCCATCCGGGATTTGAACCCACACTCTCCAAGCCAGGCACCTAATCACCAGGGCCTAGATTTTCGAAACTCTCTTATCGCTAAGATAGTCATTAGTGCCATACATTAACATTAACTTATGACTATCTTAGTGCTAAGAGAGCTTCGAAAATCTAGGCCCAGCACACAAAGTCAGCCATCTAACCCACTCAGCCACTGTGGCTTCCACAAATATTGTAGTCAGACAACTGGTGGTTTAGATCACATCAGCTGATTCACTTCAAGGGATGGACATTTCTTTTCCCAACTTGAGGCCTGTATCTGAACGTCAACAATATCCCCACTCACCCCAGCGAGGCGGAAGCGCACATGGATGCCTGCTGCCGAATCCAACATCTTGGCCTCATTGGGGTTGATGCATCTCAGCATGAGACCTGGATCTCCCCTGGTCCGGAAGTTGATCAGGTCTCGATAGTAACGATACACCTGGACATCCTGTACAAATAACAGTTTGTTATTTTTGTGACTCTTTGATGATCTTTCTTAGAGGTTAATGGATGACAAAGTAGACTCATTTTACAGGTCCCACCTTCTTCCTTTTGTTGTAACAATGTTTCGGTATGGACAGTCAGTACATGGATCAATACTGAACCATCATTTTTACAGTAAAATAAAGAAGATGGTATGCATAAATAGTGTCTATTTTAATTCATTTAAAATATTTCTTGTGTAATAATTGACCATCTTTCTTATCAGAAATACGAGTGAATTCCACTACCTTTTTTCAAAAATATGGAATATGGGTTTGAAAAAAATTCAAGGCACTGGGGATTCTCCTAAAGACTTTGAACGTTGGGATCCCAAAATCTGAAATTCCTGTTTTGTAGAGCACCAGGCAGGACAACAACAAGTACCATCTGTTAACCTCTCATGGTGTCATATAGCCAGGAGCAAACTCCTGACCTATCACACTTCAGGCAAACACTTAGCTCACTAGACTATGGAGGTGTCAGTTGCATGGGGAACAGATAGCAAAGGTATGGATCACAGTGAAATGCCCACATTGTCCAACAAATCAGAATGTACCATGAACTCCAATTCATTTTACAATATCCCTTGAAACAATGTGCCTGCAACTTACAATGTGCCTTCCATGTGCCTGCAACTTACAATGCGCCTTCAACTTACAATGTGCCTTCCATGTGCCTTTAACTTACAATGTGCCTTTAACTTACAATGTGCCTTTAATGTGCATGCAACTTACAATGTGTCTTCAATGTGCCTGCAACTTACAATGTGCCTTCCATGTGCCTGCAACGTACAATGTGCCTTCCATGTGCCTGCAACTTACACTGTGCCTTCAACTTACAATGTGCCTTTAATGTGCCTTCAACTTACAATGTGCCTTCTCCAAGCTCTCTGTATAATTATCACAGCATCTGTGTCCGGTATTGGCCCTTCTCGTATTTTCTTGACCACAACAGTGGTTTTCTGCTGCATGCTGATGGCTGTTTTGTCCGACAGCTGTGGGGACATGTCCTGTCGCTGCTGGTGTTGATAGTGCCGCTGTTGCAGGCGCTGTGATGGTGAGTTAGTTGCCCTTGATGAACCCCGGCTGGCTATAACCGGCTCCTTCCGGACCTCCTCCTGTTCTTGTTTTTTGCCCTCCCAAATCTGGAGATACGCTGCACTAAACTCTTCAAACCTGGAACAGAACAGATAAGGCTGTGAGAAATGCATCTTTGGTGCAAACCCATCACATACACATTAAAATGGGTCCAGGAATCAAACCCATCACTTACGTTATTAAGGGGCGGTGGTGTAGCCTAATGGTAAAGTGTTCTCTAGTCACAAAAAAACCCTGAGTTCAATTCCCCACAAGGGTACAATGTGTGAAGCCCATGTCTGGTGTCCCCCGTCGTGATATTGCTGGAATATTGCTAAAACCTAAACTGAATCACTAAATTATTAAAAGGGATCTAGGATTTAAACCCATCACTTACATCTTTTTAAAGGGGTCTAGAATTTAAACCTTTATTTACATTATTAATATAGAGCTATGATCTAAACCCATCAATACATAATAAATGGGATCTTGGAATTAAACCCATCACTTACATTATTACAAGGGATCAAGGAGTCACATGTTTGTATTTTCTGGCCCAAGTAGAATATAGTTTATTTCCAGGACATATATCTAAAATGGCAGATCAACTCTTTGAGTTCAAATCTGACACATTTAAACCAAATGTTATTGAGTGCCAGATTTGTAGGATACATATTCTGAACATGTGGAAGGTCAATGCATATGTGCATTCAGAATGCATAATGCAACAAATCTAGATAAATACACACAGGTCAACTGACACTGTTGCACTTACGTGGGTATCTCTTCAGGTGCCACGTCAGCCGACTTCAGTTTCCTTACACATTCTTCATAAGCTATCATCATCTTGTCTGAAGTGGGTGGCTCTTCTCCCTGGGGAACATAACATGAACTGATTCAGGAAGTGGGGTGGGTGGGTTTGCCACTTTGGCAAGGTATATTAATGTATATCGAGATATTGACGTGTCATTTATTTGTTTGTTGTGTAAGGTGCGCTCAGCAATATACCACCTATTTGACATCAGTCTGTAAGTAATGGATGGAGTCTTACCCTTTCGATCCTGTTTGACGCCTCTTACAACTAGCATGGTTTGTAAGAACTATTCTAACCTGGATCTTAACAGTATCAATACATTTTTAATGTCAATGGCATACTAATACAAATTTTTGACCATTGATACTAAAAAGAACTTTCATATTTGATGAGATTACCATGCTTATAACAGAGAATAACCAAACTGGAATTTCAATTCGGCTATATTTAGACAAGAATTCTTTTCGAGTTGATATAGCACTACTGTATTGTCCAATCAATGACCAGTATATAGTGCTGACAATCCTAGAAACATGAACAGGGTGAATCTGGGATCTAAACCCATCATCATTGGATGCGTGTTTTACTAAGGGAGATAACTCTAAACAGCAACTTGTGGCACAGGAGATGACAGGGCCAATATTAACAGATGGATACTGTTGTGGTCTCAGTATACTGAGGTTTATGGTATTTATACGTCTTGTGTATTGGCAAATAAATTGTATCGCATTCTATAAGACCAGTGTTTACAGTTGACCTCTACCTCGCCTGTGTGAACATCAATGCTGATGAAGTCCTGCAGGTTTTCAACATCCTTCAGTCGCTGTAGATGATGTTTGCTGTCACTGTAGACGGCGGTGCTGCTTGTCTTGGGTTCTATAGCATCATACACATTGCATCTGGAACATGGGAGTATGTCATAATCAATTACATATCAATATATTCTTTGGTTGCTCAACAGCTCTGTCTTACACTATAACTGTTATTTATTTATTTTGTTTGTTTGTTGTTTAACGCCACACTCAGCAATATTCCAGCCATATGACGGCGGTCTGTAAATAATCGAGTCTAGACCAGACAATCCGGTGATTGACAGCATGAGCATCGATCCAGACAATAGGGATACATTCATGACATGTGTCAACAACTAAGACTAAGAGAACTTGACTACCCGATCCTGTTAGTTGCCTCTTACGACAAGCATGGGACCAGTTCTAATCCAGATCTTCATGGGTTCTGTTACTTGTTTCTTAGACAATGTTTTCCATTACATTTTAGCGCTGTAACTGACAAAGTATACTCCCATAAACCAGTATCCAAGCTATTACTAGCAATACAGCTTTTACTGTTACTTATTTTAAACCATGATTTAGTGTTGTACAAACCTTACATACTTAACTTCATTCAGTTGTGTATTGCATTTGTATGTATTGTATGTTCATTCACATTGTCAATGGAATTTTGTTACTTTAGAAAACATAGAATTTCTGTATAATGACTGAGTATTGTTTTACGCCGTTTTTAGCAATATTCCAGCAATATTAAGGCAGGAGACACCTGAATAAGAACCCATGTGGGGAATCGAACCTGGGTCTTCGGTTTGAGGAGCGAACGCTTTAACCACTAGGCTACCCCACCACCCCTCTGTGTAATGATGCAGAGTAGGACCATAATCATGGAACAACTCAGCAGAGGGCAACAGCAGGACTTTACACATTGTACCCATGTGGGGAATCGAACCCGGTCTTTGGCATTATGAGCGAACACTTTAACCACTAGGCTACTCCCATCGCCCCAAAACGAAACTCAGAGTCATATATCAGAGACAGTGTCAGACTGGCTGCCTCAAAAGTGTCTGGCACAATTGTTTACCTCCGGACTACAACTGTAAGAGAAGTACTTTGTTTTAAAGACTGGCTACCACTGTGAAACAGTCTCTTCGGATCTGAGAAACGTTACTGTTATTTGAGACATCTGTCCAATCAAATTCAACCATTTCTCAAGGTCAGTACAATTTGAAAGAGAAAGTGAATAAGAACCATTAGAACAAACTTTGATATCACTGGTATGAACAAACTTTGATATCATTGATAGGTACAAACTTTGATATCACTGATAGGGACAAACTTTGATATCATTGATAGGGACAAACTTTGACATCATTGATAGGAACAAACTTTGATATCACTGATAGGTACACACTTTGATATTGATAGGAACAAACTTTGATATCATTGATAGGAACAAACTTTGATATCATTGACAGGAACAAACTTTGATATCATTGATAGGAACAAAGTTTGATATCATTGATAGGTACAAACTTTGATATCATTGATAGGAACAAAGTTTGATATCATTGATAGGTACAAACTTTGATATCATTGATAGGTGCAAACTTTGATATCATTGATAGGAACAAACATTGATATCATTGATAGGAACAAACTTTGACATCATTGATAGGAACAAACTTTGATATCACTGATAGGTACACACTTTGATATCATTGATAGGTACAAACTTTGATATCATTGATAGGAACAATCTTTGATATCATTGATAGGTACAAACTTTGATATTGATAGGAACAAACTTTGATATCATTGATAGGAACAAACTTTGATATCATTGACAGGAACAAACTTTGATATCATTGATAGGAACAAACTTTGATATCATTGATAGGAACAAACTTTGATATCATTGATAGGTACAAACTTTGATATCCTTGGAAGTAAAGTACAGAAAAGTAACACTTTTACCAGTCATGGACTTATCATGATCATAGCTCTGGTAGGCTAAAAGTAAATGTGTAATACCTGGCTTTGTATCCCCTCGCACGCCGCTGTATCTCAATGGCTGCACTTATCTGGACATCTTCACTTTGCTTGTCACCAGACTGTATCAAGGACTGTAACAGAAGAATCATTGTCATGTCATACTTTTGGGTAAAAACAAAGTTTGGATAATCTCTACACCATGTGCACTGTAATTGTCACTCAACAAGTGTGTAACAGGTGTGTCTGATGATGTTCAACGTACGACAGGCTGGTTCCTGTCTCTCTTTATGCTGCAACATCTTTATGGTATAAACAGACTGGTTCAGTAAAAAGTCATTGAATTATAAACAAATCTAATTCAACTCTGTGCTGGTTAGGCCCTTTTGCTAAATTATCAGTGACTTAATGACTCATTTCAGCATTTGCATCCCCATTAAAACACAATTCCTGTCTGACACCTGGCCCTTTCACCTGTGAGCCAAATGCTTTTATCCGATAGAAACTGTTGTCAAGAAAGCAACATTTTCATTTAAAAAAATTATGAAAGTTTCTGCAAATATCATTCTGTAGCTATGTGACGGACAGCTATTCAAGATACACTGTGACTAACATCAGTCATTAACAAGTCAACCACCTCAAACATTGTGAAAAGAAAAGAAGAAAAAAGAAAAGAAAAACAGTACTACCCATTGACCATTACTATGTTACAAGGAACATAAAGTTTATTTAACCTTTGCTTACCCACATGAAGCAGCATTTCATAAAGCAACTAGACCACAGTTGAATCTCTACTCATGCATGTCTAAATGAAAAAACAACTTACCTTGCGTATATCCTTTGGTGCAGCTGCTAGTTCTCTACTCTTTACAGATCCTGTTAAAAAGTGAATATGCATGGCATAATTTTTTTAACTACGTACACATCAAACCTAGATGCGGGCTTTCAAAAAACAAAACCCAAATTAGAATAGAAGCTGGTCTCAAACAAACATTAGGGCTAGGAAAACAGTAATTCTACCATGGTAATGGTATAACAGTAAACTACTTTTATGAACATGCATATAATGATTGCCTGACAAAAGCCCCGCAGGACCGAAGCCCCACAGACAAAAGCCCTTTTTGGACAAAAGCCCCAGACATCTCAGACAAAAGCCCCAAAAGATATATATATATGAAAACAATTCAGCTTGGCCAAGACCGCTTGGTCTTACTAAGCAGTGAACGCTTATTTACCTTTGATGCGATTAACACTAATTTGTAAACTATAATTGAGATTATCATGTAATCTCAGTGTCAATGTCACTATGCATTTAAGAGGCCTTCAGACACAGTGTGATATCAAATCAGGGCAAAATGTCTGAGCGACCATGAAAACGCCCGCACACTGAATTGCCACATGTAACCAAGATAAAAAAGTCAGTCAGAGTCTTTGATGGCTGATTTCTGCACAAACTAAAGCATTTATATGCAGGGCTCCAGATAAGGGACGTATTGGTGTATGTACGGATAAAAAATATGCACGATACGGTAGGAAATAATTTAGAAAACGTAGCAGATACGAACCACAGCAATGGTGTATGGTCTTAGAATCATTTACAGACGTATTTTTCTGAACGAGTGTTGTTTTATTATTTATTGACCTGTTTACACAAGACTAGTAATGTTGTGGTGCATATATGAAACGAAACACAAGATTACTGACACGCCATTAAATTCCATTCAGTACTCAAAATGTATTCTTAAGTTTATCCAGAACTCCTATATTGAAAAAATAAGGAGTACGTACTCCTGATGTTGAAAAATTATCTGGAGCCCTGTATTATGACAGTGTATATGCCTGGATGTAATAAACAAATGTACATGTACTTTGTCAGTAAGTGTTTCATCTTTATACGCATTCATGTAATATGTGTTTCATGCACAATCGTATGTTCATCAAAGGGAGATAACTCCATTAAAATCTGTGTACCTCGGACTGCTGTCTAATTCGGACTTTTTAGTTGGTCCCAAGCCAGTCCGAATTAGACAGAGTGCACTGTATTTACAAAATTACTCCGCTGTTCATTAAATTAATGGAACAAAATTAATCATGATACTCAATTAGCTATTCACCGATGTGTCCAGCCCGTTTACTGCTGGTAGCCAGTACACTTGTTTCCCTTGCTCTAACAAAATCAACGCTTATTGGTTTGATTGCTTCCCAATGAGTAATATGGCAAACCAGACAGTGCTTGTTGTAGGTGTGGGACTGATGAAATGTGGAACACTTGGGCCATAGTGAGGTTGATCACTGACGTTGTGAGATGAACAATGTAAATTTAGAATGGACATTAGCATTAAAACCAATTAAACATAATACAACAGACAAATCATGTGTGTGATATGCAAAAGCTTTTTACATGTATTCATGTGTGTATGTATGTCACTTAAGTTTAAAGGATGGTGAATGTACAATGTAAATAAAATTAACATTTATAAAAGTAAAAACTATCTTTTATTCTGATACCTTTTTGGTCAATCTGGACTATCAGGTGTCCATTTTAACTTGGAAAATGGGCTCCTGTGATTAAATCACCTGGTCCATTTGTTACTTGTTATTGAGTCCTACGAGGACACTTCATTTTATAATTTACACTGGCCATTATTTAAATTTAAAAATAAAGTTTCTGCAAAGTAATAACATGTAGCTCGAGACTTGCCTTGGTAGTAACACATGTTTTGAATACAACTTCATCATATTCGTCACATTTGTTGATCTGATTTTCAATCGAAATGGACAAGATACGAAGCGCCGTAAAATCAGGTGTCGGATTAAATATAAATCTTCAAAGGCCAAATAGTGTTATGCTAGTATACATACGATTCATAATTGGTAATGATCTTACCTGGAAGGTTCGATATTTCTAGTAGTTGTATGATCTCTTTCTGTTTAAGCATGTTTGCATGTGTGTGTCCACTTTTGGCCGACCGATGATGGAATCAAGAATGTAAACAGTGAACAAACATTCAAAACAGGTGCTCCTTCTGTTTTTAAGATGACGTTATTGATCCCAAGTGTCAGCACATATGTGAATCATCTTCGCTAATCCCTTATCAGTGAACAGCACACATATTCCAAAAATCCTAAATGTGAGCGATATTCAATCGGTTGCTGATGTGAATTTGGTTGTCAATTTCAACAAACCCCACTTCCTGGCCTACGAACATGCGCAGTATACACAGGGGAGGTAATCCCAAATCCTACTACTTAGGGATATTACGCCGCTTTTTGCAATATCGAGTCGGCGACACAAAACGTTTTCATCAATCAGCGTGTATAGGAATTAAATACATAGAGCAGAAATGCTTATGGCAAAGGAAATGAAAAGGACAGTAATTACGTACTTTCTGATTGTTTGTCCAAAACTTTGCAAGTCATTGTTGGTTCACTTCAAGATAATGAATTTTCTAAAATGGCATCATTGAAAAATCTGACATGAAATCAGCCATTTTGGAAAATCTCATCAAACATCCTGACTACAAACCAAAATTCTCCGTATCAACATCAATCATTTGAAAATGAGGAAATTTCAGAAAAGCTTAGAAATCCAAAGAAAGAAGACAGAGACCAAGGCATCTTCTTTCCCAGTTTTTACTCCACTGTGCAATCATGACATCATCCACCACTATGCGATCCTTGATTGCTTTCATGCTTGTGTCACAATAGCCATCTTCTGGTCGTCAGTATACCTAACTGAAATTAATGAAACCCCTTTCTGTTAACCCATGAAGATCCGGGTCAGAATATTGATCTTCAGTAACCCATGCTTGTCGTAAGAGGCGACTAACAGGATTGGGTGGTCAGGCTCGCTGACTTGGTTGACACATGTCATCGTATACCAATTGCGCAGATCGATGCTCATGCTGTTGATCACAGGATTGTGTGGTTCAGACTCGATTATTTAGATATAGCTGGAATATTGCTGAGTGCGGAATAAAACTAAACTCACTTTCTGTTAATCTCTTTGGATTATTTTGAACATTGAACTTTCAAATTGACTTTGCCATCATATTGTAATCTTTGTACATCAATACTATCTCATATTCTTTGCAATTATGTTGCTATCTCTTCTATCCCACTGTGTATTGTCTAAATGCTCCATATATAATATGTATCCAGCATGCCCAGACGAGGCAAGAAGTAGTTCTGAAATTATTCATTGTATTCTGGTCAGTTTTTTTTTAATGTACAGTTTTCTGTGATCATGTGCAAATGATTTATTACAGTATCATCAGTGTTTGAAACTCCCCAAATTCCAAGCCAGACAGCCAGACTGGTAACTTAAAAAAAATTACCAGTCCGGATACAAACTTGCCTGTCCAGTTTTCAACAATAAAAAACCAAAAAATAAGGCTACTGAATACTTTACTGCATGTATTGTAAGGTTAAGGCTAAGGTACATGGCCTGGTTTAGAAACTAGAAGTCTGTTGCATTTACTGCCTCTCAATCAAGATCAGAGAAATATCTACCTGACCACCGGACAGGCTACTTTTGATATTTGACTGTCCAAGATGAAAAAGGAACATTCTGGATGGTCGGGCAGGCAGGAATTTTAAACGCTGGTATCATACAATCCATTCAGCTGTCATTGCCGGTATGAAATATACTGAGAAAAACAAATAAAGGAACACAGGAAAATCCAAGCGTTCCTTTAATATTTTCCAGTTTTCATCACCAGCTTTGAATAGCACTGTGCGAGGTAATCTAAGAAATAAACAAGCATTGTCACTAAGGTGACATAATCCCCAGCCGCAAATTATCAAATCAAACTTATAAAGTAATGAAAGTTTAAGTTAAATGTCAACAAAAACATGACCAATCAACCTCTCTTGATATCTTGCTCTTTAGGCGTTCAAACACACACATATTTTCAAGACTGACTTTGACCTTGACATGAATGTCATAGTGTATGAAATATGCAAAAATAGTACTAAAGAAATTGCTTATTGAAAAACATTCAAGGGAAGTCTTGAAAGTCTATGAAGAAAATCCAGTGAACCATTCTTGAAATATCTTGCTGACAATTCAGGTTAACATGCTGAAATCTTCAAAGTGTCGTCGTGACCCTGAAAATTATGTGAAGGTCACCAAAATTGACTGGGCCCTGGGCCTTCCCTAGATGAAGCTTGGTGTCAAATATGAAGAAACTCCAGTGAATGGTTCTTGAGGTATCTCGCTGACAAGCATAACATGCAGGTTAATATGGTGAAATCTTCAAAGTGTCTCTGTGACCTTGAAAATTAAGTGAAGGTCAACAAAATTGACTGGGCCCTGCGCCTTCCCTAGATAAAGCTTGGTTTCAAATATGAAGAAAATCCAGTAAACGGTTCTTGAGATAGCTTAACATGCAGGTTTACATGCTGAAGTCTTCAAAGTGTCACCATGACCTTGACAATTATGTGAAGGTCACCAAAACTGACTGGGCCCTGCGCCTTCCCCAAATAAAGCTTGATATTGAATATGAAGAAAATCCAGCGAAAGGTTCTTGAGATAGCTTAACATGCAGGTAAAACGTTAAAGTCCTCTTGTGACCTTGAAATGAAGGTCAAGGTCACCAAACCTGACTTGGACCTTTCTCATACTGTGATGAACCTAGGTACCAAATATGAAAAGAATCTAGTGAACAGTTCTTAAGATATTCCAATTCATACGTACAGACGGACGGAGCCTAATACTATATCCCTCACTTCGCGCTAAACGTGCGGCGGGGATAATGAAGGAACACTGCCATGAAGTGGTGTTCCCTTATTTGTTTCTCTCAGTATATATTTGCTGCTTTTGTCAAAAGAGTTGTTCTTGAGTTCCAGAATGATTTTAGGGATGACACCCAGTGCAGTGTAGGTCATGAATAACTTTCACTTGGAAGGTATGTGGATAAAGGCGTTGGAGTGTTTTGTATCCATTTTGCCGAGCTAAAAAGATGATACAGTATTTTTAGAATAGAGGATTGATCCCATTTAACAACATTTTCCAACTAATCAGATTACAGGAAATACTGAAATTCCTCTGTCCATCATATGTGTAGAAAAATAACAAAACACATCAGATGCCATTTATAGGTTTTATTGAAAAGACAAATCAGATACACATTTATAAAAGATGTATGATGTCAGGATGGTGAGTGACTGGAAGGATGATGTTCAGATCACGTGTTGTAACACTTGGAAACAAATACATCACATTGAGTCTACACAACAGTACAAATGAGGATGGAGAGTTACATAGCAAAAAACACAACCTACAACGAAGCACTGACTTTCGCTTAACATTCATTCAATACTTCTACAACACAAACATGAGCAAATGATGCTTCAACTGATCCATCAGTATCTACAACAACTTTGACGCAATTTTTCTGACATGTATCAAACAGAGAAATGCAACATTAATGATTACTATGTCTGTATCTGATCTGCTTAAATGCTTGGCAAGCCATGGCGATCATTACGCTAAGACTGTCTCCATTAGACCTACAAGATATTTCTGTACCGGTATGTAATGCAATGTTCCACTAAGATCCATTTTCTCAGGGTACATTAAGAATTCAAGGATATTTTCTAAAAATTGCATCACACTTGACCTAGAAAAGACCACACTTGTCTTTTAAATATAAAAATGTGGTACCCTTTTAACCTAATTGTCCTGCTTGTTACAAGTTCAGTATGCTCAAGCAGCTAGCCATTGGAATGGATATAATTTTTAAAATTACTATCAGCAGAGTTTACACAAATTGTTTTCTCTGAAGTAACTGACAAAATTTCAGAGGTCTTAACATTGCAAAATATCAACCCAGTAAAATCCTGTATACTCTTGTACATCAAAATAAAGCAAGCTTGAAATTATACAGAATTTTTTTCTGTATCTACCACTTTACACATTAATGGAAAGAAGCATAATGAAAATTCTTTGAAAAAACATGTATTCAACCCTTTCAAACTTATGCTGTCTAAAATAATTAGAATTAATTCCAGTGTCTAAAAATATTGAAAATATCTGTGCATTATAATTTACACTTAATTACCAGAAATAAAGACATGATTGAAAGAAATACAATTTCATTCAGTCATATTATTAGTTATATTGGATACAAATTAAAATTAAATATGACTTAAATAAATCTTGATTAAATAGATTTTACTTTTCTCAGAAAGATTACTTTCCACAACATGAAATCAAGATGATATTAATACAATTTGAAACATATTACATCAAGATACGAATAACATCTGACTTCACTGTTACAATCGTACCATGCAGCCATATCATCCTCAACCATCATGATCAAGGGCGGACATGATCCAATATATAAGCTGATGAATGGATGGCAATGTACACATGCTGAGAAGTATCACAAGTGTTGGATGAATCAATGACTGGTTCTCACGATGTTGACAGATAATATGTGAGAGATAATATGCAAATAAATATTCAACATTGCAAAAGACGTTGGAGAAAAAGTGCTGTAAACGTACATAGCAAGATACAATACATACACAATATCAGCTTTCAAGTCTTATATCTGTGCTGTAAATAACAAAAGGGTCAGAACAAATTCAGACAGACTGGTGCTAACCAACATGCGTATACTCAGTGCTATAATTTAAATTGGTCGAAGGAAGGAGAAAGCAGAGACACCCATTAAATCACTTCAAGGACAGCCTAAAAGAAAGCTTGAAGTGGTGATGGCCTGCCAAATTAAAGAAGGTAGTACTTGTCCGGCCAAGCTGGTGCAGCATCGTCCACAAGGCATCAACTTCTTTAGAGGCAGAACGACAAGCAGCTGCCCCAGAATGTTGCAAGACTGCCACGCTTCCTGTGACAACAGACTCTCAGTGCCTGACCTGTTCCAGACTCTGTCACTCAAGAGACTACCACTATCCTTAGCAAAGATCATAAGCCAACAATGGATAACATTGCATGGCTTCAACAGTGCCAGAAAATGTCTCTCAGGAAACATAAGGTCTGAAAATAGTAAGCAATATTCCCTCACTGCAGTTTCCTGGCTTAACCTAGCGTTTTGATTTGATCATCAGAAGCGGCTGTTGTAATCTGCAAATCTGGTCATTCATAATTCTTAAAAAGATACATTATGTCAACCTAGGAAACTTGCCATTCATCCTGGGCACTCAACTACTTATACATTAAATACGATAAACTTTAAATATACCATTAGGCAAAGACAATAGGAAATGTGATTACAAATCCTGAAAGGTCAGGCTATTCAAACACTGAAAATGTTATACATGTTTAAGTGTCTCTATGATATAGCATGAAGTTGGCCCTGAGACCCCATGTGGACAAAAAAATGACTCATTACTAAACATATACACAAAGAATTTAGTTAAGCACCCCCTGACATATCTCATGATTGAATGAGTCCCGATCTTAACCCTTTGAAGCATATCTGGAACATGATTGGTCGTTGTGTGCAATAAAGGGATCCTCCTGTACAGAACCTGCCCAATTGGAAGCTGCTTTACACGAGGAATGGTGTAGACTGCCCCTTCAGAGGATCAGGAGGCTGACGGGGTATGAAGAGAAGAGTGCTGGCTGTCGTACAGTCACATGGAGGTTACACTCGGTATTGACCTTGAATCGTGTAAGACATGCAAAATGACATTTTGAATGTTCACTCTCACCAATAAATTCAACATTAAACATTCCAGGGCCATACTTCTACAGACATGGTTTTGTATGAAAATCAGTGTTTTTTATAAAAATGAGCAATTATGATCATAAAAGCAACATGGATTCCAATCATTTTGTCGTATTTTATGATTTTTTTTATCAGGGTCATAAGGGTCAGTAAAACTCATGTTTTTCCATCATGGTCACAAGAAGAAGTTTTGTGTACGTGATGAAAACCTATCTTTGCAAAAATACAGGGGTGCTTAATTAAGTTCTTTGTGTATATAGTACGAATATAGTAGGTAATATTTTCTCACGTTAAGTCAAAGAATTCCTCTGTGAGAAAACAGAAATACAGAAAAAGCTACTGAATGTTTTCACAATATGACACTATATTCCTAATGATTATGATACAAAGGTTATTTGTAATGAGGCTATTCAAATATGACAGAACTATGACCAATACTATGGGAAGTTGCTTAAAACTGAATGTCTACTCAAAGTAACACAACCAAAGTTCACAAAGAACTGAACTAATCTTTGGTTTTCTTAATGCTATTACACAATGCTACAAGTAGGTAAATTCTCAACAGCTAACATGATAATATAGGAAAAGAAGCTAAACAATGCCTACATTATGACAAATAATTATGAGCCAAAAAAACTACCTATTACATTTCATTTGACCATGACCATAGTCAGTGTTATACTCATTATCAAAAGTATTACATTGTGCTCTATTATGATAAATACTCATATTTGGAACGATACCTTTCTTTTTGAGTCTGCTCCAAGTGGGTGAGCGAGATTGGTTATATTCAACTTTTTAATATTCCAGCAATATCACAGCAGGGGATCCCCAATTTGGACTTTACACACCTTACCATGTGGCGGAATAGAAACTGGCTTTTCATGTGACAAGCTAAAGCTTTAACCGCCTTTAACCACTATTTAACCCACAGCCTCTGGACCATTCCAAATGACAATGCTTAAAATAGCATCTTTTCTGGCTTAAAGTTTGTTGTAAATAATCTCCTGATTCTATTCAGTACATCAAGGGTTAATGCTTCAAGGTCATAATTCTACATGTAGATACATGTCATTGCTGAAACAAACCTTGTTTAATTATTGGACAGATCTCGAAAACAATGTACCTGTCATTAACAGATCTTATTTTACAACATTTCCAGCAAATACATAACATTGAGCAAATATACTTAATACAGTTGCAATACAAGTAGAAATGTAAAGGTATAAACATGCAATATTGCACAAACTACAAGAGCTGAAAACAGACAGAACAACATGAGCAACTAAAAAACTAATGTAAGTTGTATAAACTTGAGACAAAGCAAAACAAAAAAGTAAATACTGGTAAATGTTCCACAAATGCATGGAAAAAGATCAACAAAACAAAGCCTTCAGTTGAGAATCTTATAACCTGGTCACGTACAAATTCTCACAAAATTTGTTTAAGTCAAATGAGTGTTAATGACCAACCTCGTTGATCATCTTTATCGCACTGACTTCATGTACTTGAACATACCAAAACTGGACATTGTAACTCACATTCCAAAGACAAATACTACCTATTCTTACTTATCAGCTGTAAATTTCAGCGAAGAGATAAACACAAGGAAGACTGCACAAAGTACAGCCATAAGCAGACTAAATAACAGCCACAAAATCTGAAACCACATTTGTATATCAATAAGTGCATTTTTCAATATACACTGTACAAGGCAAAGTTTGACAATATTTCTCGTGAATACACAATGCCATTTAGAAAGGGGTCAAACGTAACATATGATATATTTGGGATTACACTTTCTTTGTAAAGTACAGATTCTGTTACGTTTGTGGGGTTGAGTCCCATCCGGGCTTCGAACCCACTCCCCCAGAGTCGGGCACCTAATCGCCAGCACACAAAGTCAGACCTGCCCATGCGGAAGGCGCAGTAGCTGAACGGGTTAGGCCCCTGACTTTGTGTGCTGGTGATTAGGTGCCCCACTCTGGGGTGTGGGTTCGAAGCCCGGATGGGACTCAACCCAACAAAAGTACTTGAATCTGTACTTTACTAAGAAAGTGTAATCCCAAATATAACATATGTTACAAATATTTCTCGTATCCATAAAATGTCCATGAGAATCATAATACGTCTTCACATTGATATCGGTTGTCATACATTGACACATATCATGCTATAATGCTGTGTTTGATCACAATGACAGTACGATAATTTCAGTAGCCAACAGGACTGTGCTATGAACAATGTCCTGCAGTGAAAACATACCCAGGCGCACTGTCATTTTACAGAGCCATTTTAACCAAACTTTTACTCTTGTGTATCATAATATGCAACAATACATACTGTATTATTTATATGCTACATCTATGTACCTTTCTATGTATGTAATTATTGTCTTATTGTATTCACTGTAATAAGTGCCCAGAGCAAAAATGACTCCGCTGCTGTTTTCTGTAAGGAATGAAGAATACTGGTATACAACAAAATATGGACTATAATTTTCAGTGATATGCAGTCACGCAACTTAGAAGCCATATATGTTATATTTGGGATTACTTCCTCAGCAAAGTACATTTCTAGAAAGTTTTGTGTGAGTCCCATCCGGGATCTGAACCCATACACTCAGGGTTATGATCTGCAGCACACAAAGTGATCTAACCTATTGAGCCACCACAGCTTCCACAAAATGACAACGGGTAGTCATTATACATGACAAAAGTATAACAAGTGGTAGTCCAGATCACATACTATGTGTAACCCTCTAACAAGTGTAAACTTAGAAGCTGTTCAGGAGACACTTAAACGAACAGAGCGCTTAATACAACAAATACAATAAGCATGATACGAGTCTTACGATTTCTTCTAAGGTAAATATTCAAAACATACAAAATAATAACTGTAACTGACCCATCGATACACCACCATCAACAGCATTTTATTGCAAAGCATATTTGTTAACTGCAAAAATCAAACATCTCATCTCAAAAATCAAACCTTGATTTACTTGTTTCAAGGAAACCTGCATTGTAATGGTTGACTCCTTGTCTAAGACTTTTCAGCTGCACCTTTAATGTCATTGAAAGACTGACACAAAGTTTGTTGTCTTCTCCCAATACAAGACAATGACAGCTGCTAGGTGGACATACCAGCATCACTAAGTTACAACACTTGTATCTGTGGAATGTATACCAGGAATGCATTCAAGGTCATCATCACTAATCCATTACCGTCACAAATCATACTTCAGAAAATCTGAGTGAGTTGGTTTAATTTTATGCCGCTTTTAACGATATTCCAGCAATATCATGGCAGGGCGACACCATAAACGGGCTTCACACATTGTACCCATGTGGGGACTCAAACCTGTGTCTTCGGCATGGCGAGCAAACACTTTAACCACTAGGCTACCCCACCGCCCCACAGATCTGAAGAGAATTAATGGAATTAAATAACTATTTGTTCTCTTACAAGGCTTCTGTCAATATATGGTGCTATTGTGAATCTGAACTTCTCACCTATTACAATGCAATGAAAGGGCACAAACTTCTACGTAGAGTTGCCTGCCCTTGACATGTACAGAAATCAAGGGTAAGAAAATATCTTGAGTAGAAAAATGATGCAAGCAGTATTATTTCTTAATAGCATACTCACATGATTTTATTTGTATGCATACACAACCAAAAGGTTACCAAGTACTGCTTTGTCTCGCTATGTGATCAATGTCTTGAATGCATCCCTGACAACCGAGGTTGACATTTGCTTCATCCAGAACATCAATACAATTAAAAAGCTTGTGGATAAAACATTGCAGTGATTATGAAACCATTTAATGGCTGTTTTGTATCAATAACTTACTAACAGCAACATATACAAATGTTTTGATGTTTCGTTTGTTATATTGTGCTTTTATACATTGAAAGGAGACGGTTAGCAATAAGAGCAATTTACATGCTAGAAGAGGTAAACTGAGTTTTCCAAAATAATTCCCATGAATGATACATATAAGGAAACTATTTCACTGAGAATGCATCATTGTATCTACAAAATGCATACCAAAACACACTGTGTGAAATATAAAGTTTCACACGCAATATTCAATTTGCTTTTGCAATAAATTGTAAAATGATGGTTTATTTAACAGAGCAATATTTACTTACATTGAAGACTAAAACAAGTTTGAAAGTTTCTTGTTAAAGAAGAAAAAGGGTTTATCTTCTAGTGGACATCTTATGACAAACAGGTGGAGTATTAATGTTGTGTGAGATCAAATAAACAAACAATTTAGAACATTACAAATAAAACAACCATGAAAGAAACCATCATTAGCCATTGCATGTGTAGTTTGGCCCTGCCCCAGTGATAAAATGTCTTTGTCGATTTCACGAAACCTTATGTCCCAAATAGTCCATCTAATACTGTTTTGAATCTACCAGACCCAAACTGTCTTTTAGCATCATATAAAGTAAATTTTAGCATTAACATTTTGCTTAGTTTGATAGACTGAATAATTATTTTTCTTTTACCAAATTCTGGTTTCAAGCATCCGGCAAGTGGATTAAGATGCAGAATGAAACATTTGCTGATTGGCTCTGTTTTTCAAAATCCCATTTTACTAAAAATGCTTGAAATACAAAACACACGAATTGTGTTCATCCTTTCACTATCAGTTTTATTTTTTTACACCAGAACTAGTACTGTGGTTTTTCAGTTTCCACAAATGCATTCATGAGGTAGCTCCACCCAATGGCTTACAAGAAACTGGACATAATGCTGTAGGCAAAACTAATTAATCTGTAGCCATAAAAACATAATTTGTCTCAAATATTGAGCATGACCATATTGCAATATATCATGTTCATGTCTTGCAGACCACCGACAGAATCAAAATTATTTAGAAATTCATTACCTCAAAAAAATAATTCAGCCCAAATTGTTCGTGACAATAAAATGTATACCTTCTCTAAATGCTAGTTACTCAATTACTCATAACAATCTGGGCAGTGTTCAAAGGATTCCTGGATGGTCTATAACTTTAACTTTGCCAAAGTGTAATAATCTTTTTTAAATTGCCAAAGTGTAATAATACTTGTTACAATATTTCCTTCAAGAAATGCTGATGATGGGAATTTGCCATGCCATTGTATTAATGTGTCTCACTCATGATCGTATACACGACATGATTTGAAGCTATAGATCAAACATCTTGTTCGGGATTTCAATCCAAATCCATACTATGGAACTTTTCAATGATAACATCATTGCTGCATGTTGAATTACCAGACATATCAAAGATTCAACCATTCAGACCCAATCAACGTTTATACTGTAAATGTACTCCCCTATTCAGTGTGTTGGCAGTCGTCTCTACAAACAGAGTTTTACTACTCTCGTACATTCAAGTTCCTGTAAAGAAGGATACTTTCCACATTCAGATCACCAAAGATGTATTTGGAAAACAAAATAATGTATTTTCTGGCCTGGTTTCAAAAAGGCCTCAGGACTAGAGATATACAAAACACTCATTTAATATCAAACTCTTACAACAGCCTTTCATCTGTATATCAGCATTAAAATCTCAATTAACGTACAAATCTCAATATTTTCAAAGACATTATTGATTATTGGAGTCCTGTGTGTGTAAAAAGTAGAATTACTTATATGTTTTGGTGATTTTAAAAATGTCACCTTGAGATCAAACAGTATTTGACTAAATATTTTCCTCACTGGTCTTTCTTTTCTTCTGGTGGAGCTACAGGTTGTTCAGTGCGAACTTTCTTGGAAAATACAGATTTAGGTTCTGCAGTCAAAGATTGCAGGAAGATGATAAGTCGACAGGTCAATAGTAGTGCAAACACGATAGCTGGGCTCATTTTCTCCAAACCTTCATCGAGAGCAAAGTGGGCATAGATGTCGTTGACAGTGATTGTTAAGAGCACAACATTGCTTGCTTCCTTCAGGGCACCTGTTAACAACAAAACAAAGTGAATCAGAGTTAGGAAAGGATTACTAGTAGTACAGGTGCATGCTAGGAGCGAGGTGGTTGGAGTGAGTGAGTGAGTTTAGTTTTATGCCGCACTCGGCAATATTCCAGCTATATAGCGGCTGTCTGTAAATATTCGAGTCTGGACCAATCCAGTGATCAACAGCATGAGCATCGATCTGCGCAATTGGGAACTGATGACATGTGCCAACCAAGTCAGCAAGCCTGACCACCCGATCCCGTTAGTCGCCTCTTACGACAAGCATGGGTTAATGGAGGCCAATATTCTAACCCGGACCTTCACGGGTCTGAGGTGGTTGGAAGGTGTGTTAAAGTGAATGTTTAACATTGTTAAACTCTGCTTTACATTTGGTTGTAGTTTAACGCCACACTAAGCAATATTCCACCTATCTGGTGGCGGTCTGTAAATACAGTGGAAGCTGTGTAAACCGGCACACATCCGAACTGAAGAAATGATCCACTTTAGACAGCATACTGGATTGTAGAGCTGACATGGTTACCTACGACTAGAACTGAACCAGTTTTATCACTCTCATATACATTGTTGTATAACGTAGTTCTCTCAATTTCTCTCAACTCACTAATTACATGTACAAGTATACCCATATTGAACTAAGATTAAATTATCTTTGTCGGCAAGCATGTAGTTTCAACGCAGGATTAATTTGTGACAATACATATCCAACCACACCCCTGATAAGACAGCACTGATTACTTTATAAACACATATTCGGGCGGCTAATTTCATGCCGAGATCTGGAATTGACAGCTGCCGGATTGCAGAGCTTTTATATGATGATAAATGTACTAGCCACGGACGGGACTGAGATTTTATGCCAGTGTTGACAACTTGCCGGATTGGACAGCTGCCGGTTTTGACAGCTTCCACTGTAAATAAGTCTGGACCTGACAATCCGGTGACCAACAGCATCAGCATCGAGCTAAACAATGGGGATATGATGACATGTGTCAATCAAGTCAGTGACCATGACTACTCAATCCCGTTAGTTGCCTCTTACAAAAATTCAGGCTTCTCTGCTCTACGATCAAAACAAGAAGGAATATTACAAAATATGACCTTTTTTATATTTTCAACAATTTACAGATGTGCTTTCAACAAAGTTGGGTGAGTGAGTGAGGGATGGATGTTGGTTCAGAACAGAATTTCAGTTATATTGCAACACGTCAGCTTTATATGGGAGAAAATCAGACAGATGCAGGTAAGAGATATAAAACCCTGTAGAGATACCTATGAGTATGGTGCGGACACAACTAGAAACACAACAAGGGTGAACATGGAATTGAAAGCTATGGTCATAGGTTTCTGGCACATACAGGGTTTGCAACTCTGCACAACTGACTACCCCTGTGCATCAAAGCTTTATCATTATCCTTCACAAAAATCTCCAAAAGAGTAGCCATGTTGTTAACAACAATAAACAGTTATTCTCACTCAAACATATCCACATAGAAATGCCTGAAAACATCTGTTACATGATTTCTTCTTATCATTAATACTCAACATTTTGATGGTGTCAGACAATTTTCCCTTACTGTTCTGTCACATCAACCAACAATATCACCGCTAGAATTAGTAACAGGTGGTTCTCTGAAACATTAGCTTTTTAGCATTGGACGAGAAACTGCTGTTACGTGTGAGAGTTACTGAAACAGAAAGGTATTGATAACAATATTAACATACCTGGTACAAATGCCAAAAGAATGCCACATACAACCTCAGCAGTCCCCACAGCTTTCCGGTAAGTGTGGGGATTTGGTTTCCATCCGGTCTGTTTCACGAGCGGAAAAACTTTTGAGTTTCGAATGTATGTTTTCCTCTGAAACATAAAGTCAATATTACATAAACTGATAAAGACCCTTTCATAACACAATAAATGATTGCTGAATTACAAAGACTCTAAACCTGCAACACACTATGAAGATGCAAACTGACAGGCTAATGGTTAATGTAAAAAGAAATAGTTTTGACATCGTCCATAACAAAAGTCCTGCAATTTCTCTCTCTTTCTCTTCTCAAGAGTTGTGTTGAATACTGGTTAACAACCAGCTATCACAAAGATTAATTATCACCAATACCTTATTAGACCAACACATAATCAGGAACACTTTTGTTTGACATTTGAAAGTGTATATTAGAAGACAAGATAAGCACCTTACTTAACTCGAACATAGAGCAAAACATGACGGTTGGTCATATGAGTCTTTATGGCTACTTGAAGAAAACAAACATCTAACAAGAAAATGTATATTTAATTTCATTATTTGATACAATATTTTCCATGGACCAAAATGTGCATCACAGTATAAAAATAGTTTGTACATCAACCTTTCATTTTCAAAATCTCTGAAATTTAAAAAGATGAAAAACAGCTGTAGACATATCCTGTATAATACCCAACACTGTGTTGAAAGTATACATGCTGCAGGACAATCAAACCAGACATGAAAGTTTATAGGTTAGTTGTATAGCTGCACACTGCAATAATCAAGCCTGTAATGGACAACTGAGTGGTTGATATTATGAGCAATGATCCATGCCTTCTGGGTACAATGACATTTAATTAACCACGTCACCCTGCCTGACCAACTGATCTACACCGTCACCCTTTTGCTATCAACATCAGTTCCTAGGGACCCATTTTAAGCAGGTTTTAAGCAATTGTTTTAGCCAGCTCGATATAAAACAAGTCAATAACTTATAAAGGACATCTGGATCTTAAACACAAGTCCGAGCAATTCCAATGCGTAGGTCATGCAACACACCTGGTTATGAGTAAACACTACCATCTGAAAACATGTAATCCAATCATATGTATAAGCTCTCCCAAAAGAATTTATGATAATGGGAAAGTAAAAGAGTTTTGATGACAGTGCTGCATCTGGCAAACTGCAATTTAGCAAATAGATCTGAACATGTTCTCAGATGGTATCATTGTCAATCACGTATGAAATAATTCTCTGAATAGCCTTTACAATGTGTATCATTGTGAATAGTTGAAACAATTAGACTATTGGCATTGGTCGCACAAAAATTAGAAATACTTTGGTTCAAACAATATTCTACAGTTCTTCCAGCAAATAAATACTTCTAACCTCTCGCAATCTCAAACACCGAACAAATACACCAAGTTACTTGACAAACACAATTCACATGAATATTTGCATGTCGTATTCAGATAGCTTTGTCACTATCAGCTCCTAACGCAGGCAATCTGGTAAAGGTATTTGTACTTGAAATAAAAAAGTACCATTTCTTTGTATATTTCTCCATTAACCGACGGTGTGAGCTTAATCGTGCCCACAAAAACAAAGAATAGTCCCAAAGTCAGAGACATGACCCGCAACACAATCGAAGCCATTGCTGTCTGCTCTGACCAGCCTGTACATGCCACTTCCGGTGACAGATGTAAAAACTGGAACGGGGGAATTCAATAACGAAAACTGATTCTGTTCACATTAAACTTGTCTCCTGACGTGAAGCCCGACTATATTTCTCGAATTTCGGAGAAAACTAGCACAACAAGGAAATAAACCAACAAACACTTTAGGAATAAACCTTCTTAACATGTTCATTCTTTTTCATAGCTTTTATAGGGTTCGAGTGGTTAATGAAAATATACAGAAATAGTTATTGCGTTATTGCCAAAAATTGGCTGTTTTCCTTCCTAAACTGTTATTTGTGATGTATACACATCTTGTTCAGTCGTGTTTATCGTAGTCCGCATAATGTCTGAATGTATCGCACCACAATGGAGGGTAATGTAAATGTATCGAACAAATCAATTTCCCAGGAGTGGGTATACATCCAACTGATGGTCCCAATAATGAGTACTAATACATCCAACTGATGGTCCCAATAATGAGTACTAGTATATTAAAATAATGGGTGTCCGAATATCAGGTATATATCCAACCATTGGGTGTCATGATAGAGGGTGCATATCCTACCAGTCGGTATCCAAATAGTGGGTATATATATATGCAACCAATCAGAGTACCAGTGCTGGGTATATATCCAATCTCTGTGCCCAAATAGTGGGTATATATTCAACCAATCAGTGTACCAATACTGGGTATATATCCAATCTCTCTGTGCCCAAATAGTGGGTATATATCCAACCAATCAGTGTACCAATACTGGGTATATATCCAATCTCTCTGTGCCCAAATAGTGGGTATATATCCAACCAATCAGTGTACCAATACTGGGTATATATCCAATCTCTCTGTGCCCAAATAGTGGGTATATATCCAACCAATCAGTGTACCAATACTGGGTATATATCCAATCTCTCTGTGCCCAAATAGTGGGTATATATCCAACCAATCAGTGTACCAATACTGGGTATATATCCAACCAATCAGTGTACCAATACTGGGTATATATCCAATCTCTGTGCCCAAATAGTGGGTATATATCAACCAATCAGTGTCAATCTGGGTATATATGCCCTGTGCCCAAATAGTGGGGGTATATCAACCAACCAATCAGTGTACCAATACTGGGTATATATCCAATCTCTCTGTGCCCAAATAGTGGGTATATGTACAACCAATCAGTGTACCAATACTGGGTATATATCCAATCTCTCTGTGCCCAAATAGTGGGTATATGTCCAACCAATCAGTTTACCAGTAGTGGGTGAGGTGAGGTGAAATTGGGTATAACGTCGTGCTTGAGAATATTTCGCCAATATGATGACGTGCATGCTTGTGTATGTGTATGTGTGGCTGCTTGTACTAGCCCAGACTTAAGCTAGTTTTATAGTGCTAGCCCACTGAGATACCATGCCGCAGTGAAGCATGAATACCCCACTCAGACACATTATACTGACTCCGAGCCGACCAGTCCTTGTTGTACTCATAAATGCCGAGCGCCAGGCAGGGACCAACAAGTACCATATTTTAATGTCTTTTGTTATGACGCAGTCGGGGATTGAACCCGCGACCTTTCGCTTTCCAGGCGGACGCCTTAACCACTACACCACGGAGGGTAGTGGGTATATATCCAACCTCTCGGTTCCCCAATAGTCGTTATATATTCAACCTCTCGGTTCCCCAATAGTGGGTATATATACAAACAATCGGTGTACCAATCAAACATGATAATTTGTTTAGATCCGGATTAGAATTGTTTCCCAGCGACCCATGCTAGTCCAAAGCTAATGGGATCGGCTGGTCCGACTCACTTATTTGGATGAAATATGTCATCGTATCGTAGTTCCGTAGATCGATGCTCATCATGTCAATCACTGGATTATCTGAACCAGACTCCAGACAAACCACCGTCATATAGCTGGAATATTGCTTAGCGCGGCGTTAAAAAACAAACATATCTTTCCAACGATTCAAACGACTGCAGATTGTTATTCCTGATAAAAACTGGAAACTCAAAGATAGTTAGTCCCAAGCAGGAATAAAGCACGTGAAAAAGTATCAAAGACCTCAATGAGGATCAGCATAAACTAGCAGTGGCTCCATAGCCTAAAAGCAGGGATGGTCATATCGCTTTACACGCTTACCATGAATAATCATTTCGTTGCTTGGCACATTTTATTGGTCCACATTAACAATTTCGTTATACGATCCAAGTTTTGGAAGTCACCACATTAAAGCAACTCACTCACGGAAATCGATGAACAAAGCCCAGAAATTGTAGCCTATTGGTCGCGAAGTGACAGGCAGACGCAATGTCCCGATCCAGATATTTCGTGAATAGGTTAAAAGACTTTAAGGAAGGCTCGGAGGTTGTGCTTACTACCTCAAAATGGAAAGAAATGTCAGAATCGCTGGCGAAGACAGTCTCAGAAAAGATGGCACCAAATTTGGATAATTGTGATGGTGGTCTCTATGTAGGAAATGCTGGAGTGGCATATATGTTTTGGTATCTAGCATCTTCTGCAGCATTTGAAGAGAAGAGAAAACAACTATTAGAACAGGCGTTTGAATATTTTGGAGTGTCTTTGAAGTATGCCACTGGAAAGAGAAGCCGAGATTCTGACACCTCATTTATTCTGGGCAAAAGTGGGGTGTATGCTGTTGGTAGCCTCATTGCAAATTCAATGGGCAATGAAAAACTCAGTGGCGAATATGCAGCAAAATATGCATCTTATGCAAAGGAAGTGCAGAAGCAGAACCTCTCCTGTGGCTCAGATGAACTGTTTGTGGGAAGAGCGGGCTATCTTTGCGGACTGCTGAATCTCCATAAAAAGTTGGGGCAAAAGGTTGATAAGCTTTTAACATCAGACAGTTTTAAGACCAATTGCAATCAGTTAAATATGACAATTTCTGTTATTGAAACTCATTGTCTGTTATGCAATGTTATTGCATTATCTTATTTTTAATACAATAATCTTCTTTGAATTAGAGGCAAACTGCCTCAGTGGTGCTGAAAGGGTAGTGTCGGCATAGGTACTACAGATATGTACCCCAGGTCCGTTTTTGTACACAGAAATGTACCCTAAACAAAGTCAAAATACAGAAACATACCCCTAAATGGCAAACTAGTCCATATTCCGCACCCGGCACTGAAACCGTATGTAGTTATTCCCATTCAACTGATTGTGAGAGGTATTGTGCAATCCTGAAATATTTGTTACTGTGTATGGTCAATTCTTATCAAACATAATCAAATGCATCTCAACCATCAGCATGACAGTATTGATCAAGAATACAGCACAATGTGGAAACAACACAGACTCACTCTCTAATGGCCACTAACTCTTGTGTTCTCACTCACCCTGTGACCCGTGAAGACCTGGGATAGAATAGGTCTTCAGCAACCCATGCTTGCCACAAAAGGTGACTATGCTTGTCGTAAAGAGACGACTAACGGGATCGGGTGGTCAGGCTCGCTGACTTGGTTGACACATGTCATTGGTTCCCAACTGCGCAGATCGATGCTCATGCTGTTGATCACTGGATTGTCTGGTCCAGACTCGATTATTTACAGACCGCCGCCATATAGCTGGAATATTGCTGAGTGCAGCGTAAAACTAAACTCACTCACTCACTCACTTATGCTGTTATGCCCATTCTTACACTCCTACAGTCTCTGGTAAAAAGCCAGATTTGGGTTAAATCACATTAGTTCCAGCAAGCCTAGCTAATAATAGTCCAAATTAGGGCTGGGACGATACACTATGTCACGATACGATACATATCGCTATAGTTTACCTGCGATACAATACGTATCACGATACATACACCTTGAAAGATTGACATGGTATCAAGATTTAAAATGATTTATTTCAAAGTATTTATGTTTAACAATAACACTATTGTAATAAACAAACAAGTAACTCCATCATACTTGCGTATTTGTCTCTAAATAAGTACTGTAACATGTTTAAGATAATACTGTTTTGAAAAAAAGTTGTGTATCGTTTTGTATTGATACACCAGTCGACGATACAATAGCTGTATCAAACATAAATGTAATGTGATGCATCGATGCATCAGTGAATCGTCCTAGGCCTAGTCCAAATCATAAAACAATATTGGACTGAAAATGGTATAATAGCCTTGTTCATTCTCGTAATGTCAAACACTTTGGACTCCCCACTCCCACTTGGTACCGTCTTAGACTAACGCTTAGTCCCTGAATATATGGAATATTGATAGTAACATATAAACCCATTTAAATTGAAAAGGAGTCCCAATGAGTTGGGAGATTCAGAATCTGGGGAAATTTTGCTTCATATAGTGCTTTAGCATTGCAGGGAGTTCTAAGCAGTGGGGAAAATAATGTGGTTCAGGGACTGTGAGACAGTCCATCTTATGCCTAGTCACTCATTCTCTTGCACTCACTCGAAATCAATCCCACCAACTAACTCCCTTATCTGATGGCCTGAATGTTGTAGTATTATTGCATATGTTGCAGGTGTTGAGTGACACTGATGTGAATGCGATATGTAGCGCAATAGTTGAGTCCGGGAGGCAGTACGCCCGCAGACATAAATCAGCCTCACCTCTGATGTATGCCTACTACGACACCGAGTATCTAGGTAGGTTAGCCCCTTCAAACATAACAATACAGAGGAGAAAATGTCATATTCATGTCACCTGGCTGAATATGTCATTGTAGCCCCATGGTGATAATCAGTGCTCATGTTATCAACCACTAGTTTGAAAGATCAAGACTTGCTTTGTTTTAGCAGGGGCAGTGGGGTAGCCTAGTGGTTAAAGTGTTTGCTTTTCACGCTGAAAGCCTGGGTTCGATTCCCAACCTGGGTACAATATGTGAAGCCTATTTCTGGTGTCCCCCGCTGATATTGCTGGAATATTGCTAAAAGCGGCGTAAAACCATACTCACTCACTCATTGTATGGTTCCTGTGTAGTAATCTGTCTCTCACACCATAGAAAAGAACTTAGAAAGGGAATCCAAGACAAGTCTAGAAGGATTAGGCAAAAATATATGTTGTGGTTCTGATTACACGACCGACCCTTGAATTCTGGTGCCGACCGTAGTTTTTTTTTAAAGAGGTATGAATAAAATAAGCTTTCACATACCATTGTTTTTGTCCGGCACCAATGGACATCGGTCATTCTGATAGAGAAAATCGACATAATGGCCACAAGCTTGATTGAATAAACAATTATAGATTGATAAATGTGTTATTAGTTCATACTTTACTGAGAGCGGAAGGTCGCGGGTTCGATCCCCGACCGCGTCATACCAAAAGATGTTAAAATATGGTACTTGTTGGTCCCTGCCTGGCGCTCGGCATTAATGGGTACATCAAGGACTGGTCGGCTCGGGGTCAGTATAATGTGTCTGAGTGGGGTATTCATGCTTCACTGCAGCATGGTATCTCAGTGGGCTAGCACTATAAAACCAGCTTCAGTCTGGGCTAGTACAAGCAGCCGCACATACACACGCATGCACGTCGTCATATGAGTGAAATACTCTCAAGCACGACATTAAACCCAATTTCACCTCACCTCACCTCATACTTTACTTCTAAAAAAAAAAGTAAAAAAAATAGAATTCCTACCTACCTACCCTAAATTTTAAAAAGGTGTAATCGGACCCACAATTTTATTTGGCCTTGGTAGATGCATATATTTTGATGACGTTATTTATCACTAAATGTTATTCTACCTGTGTAGGTGCTGCCCACGGTCTCTCCTCCATCCTGCAGATGTTGCTGAGCTTTCCCCAGTTCATCCATTCCAACGCAGATGCGGAGCGAGACGTCCGACAGGCAGTGGACTTTATGCTCATTCTGGAGCAGCCCAACTTCAACTACGCTCCTGCCATGGATGAAGTACAGAGAAGATCTCGACCCGACTCGGACGAGCTTGTGCACTGGTGTCATGGAGCTCCAGGTGAGGATGTTGCTGTGGGATGTTATGAGGCCATACCAATCTCATCTCAAGCCCCTCTCTAATACAATACCTCCCTTGTAGGTTGTGTTAGGTAAATCCTTTGTGAAATGACCATTAGTTTATAAAAATATTTATGCATAGGTTTTGGAGCTGATAAAATGTCAGCGTTCTAAATTTCATCAGTCCCTGATTATAAAATTTTCAGTGAACCAAAGAAACAATACTGTTATTCCTTTGAATACTGTCTGGATGTAACTGTTAAGATCCAGGTTAGAATTGGTCTTCAGCAACCCATGCTTGTCATAAAAGCGACAGTAAGGATCGGTTGGTCAGGCTCGCTGACTTGGTTGATGCATTTCATCATCACCGCCTCCGTGGTGTAGTTGTTAGAGAGTCTGCCCAGAGAGCGGAAGGTCATTGGTTCGATCCCTGACCGCGTCATACCAAAAGACTGAAAATATGGTACTTGTTGGTCCCTGCCTGGCGCTCGGCATTAATGGGTATAACAAGGACTGGTCGGCTCGGAGTCAGCATAATGTGCCTCACCATTTCAGCGTATCCCATTTGTGTAACTCAATACTCACGATTTCGATCACTGGATTGTCTGGTCCAGATTTGAATATTTACAGACCACAGCCAGATAGCTGGAATATTGCTGAGTGCGGATTATACAACAAAGAAAGAAATCAAATTGTTTGGATGTAGATGTCATGGTAACCAGAAAAGACAAGGTGATGAATGTTCACAAATTGCCTGATATGTCGTGGTCCAGAATATTGATGTTTTATTGCAGGTATAATCTACCTGTTTGTACGAGCGTTCAAGGTGTGGGGTGATGAGAAGTACCTGCAGGCGTGTGTCAGGTGTGGGGAGGTCACATGGCAGCGAGGATTGCTGCGGAAAGGTCCGGGAATCTGCCACGGTGTGGCCGGCAGTGGCTATGTCTTCTTGCTGCTGTATCGCCTCACAGGCCACAAGAAGTTCCTCCACCGAGCCCAACAGTTTGCGGAGTTCCTGTACACCCCTGAGTTCCAGTCTGGGGCCAGAGTTCCCGACAGCCCATACAGTTTGTACGAAGGATGGGCTGGTACTGTCTGCTACCTGGCAGACTTGACCCAGCCGGAATCAGCAGAGTTCCCCCTCTTTGATGTGTTTTAAAACATACAGCTTATTCCAACCTTATCCAGTGCTTTCACGGTTAAACACGCCATGCTACCCATTATCAGCAATTTTGTCTGCATCTTGTTGACTTGTTAGTGAGACCATGGCTTGTGTAAAGGCAGCTTAAGCTTGAGGAAAACCAAATGAGTTTGATATCAGGCAATGTTAAAACTGTTCTGGCCACCAATTAGTAGATTGTATATGTATAGTGTTGTCAGTGTTTGTTGAACTTTATGAATTTGTGAATTTATCTTAACTGTATTGCATTTGTTCTTTAAATCCGTGTTCTCTTAGTATTGCCTTGTGAGTACTGATACAGCACTCCATGTTATACTACAAGGCTCACGATACAATGCATCAATTTATAACTCCTGAAACTGTTAATGCAGATTCTGTAGCATTTCCTGGTCAGATGATTTCCCATTTTTGGCAGTCTGTTGTGCACTGGACCATGCAGGTGTTGTATCTCACTGCCAAATTTGGGACAACTGGTGTGACCAATTAAGATCAATTAGCCTCGTCAGTAAGGTGGTAACTAATTTGCTACTGGGACAATTAGGACCAATTAGGCACTGAGGAGGTTTGTAAAGTAGACGAGTAAAAGTAAAGAGGTTAGAGTAGTGGAAACTATAGAAGAGAAAGGACAGATCCTGGATGGAAGAAAGTAAGGTGCCAACATTCATTTTGGATGGCTATGCTATCTCAGACGAGACAGCGAACAAAAATGGCACTGATGGTACAGTCATTAGAACATTAGAAATACTTTGCAAATGTATTGTGAATAAAATAATCATCACCAATGCTTGTGGCTGTGTGCTGGCTGGTGTGATTGATCCCTGGTCAGCTATAGATAGAATCCTCACAGTGCCCATAGCTACAATATCACATCTTTAGTATCTGAATTTTGAAAACAAACTATCTGAAATGTGAAAACAAATGATTCAGGGTTGTGATTTTCCTGCAAAAGGGATAGAATATGACTTTGAAATATGAAAAAGAAGTACCGGTACTGTATTTGGATACGAATCATTTCACATCCATATTATGAAGATCTATATCGTATCACGGCTTCACTATATTTTTACACATTTAATGAATATTGCTTATGGAGCAGGGGCGGTGGGGTAGCTCAGTGGTTAAAGCGTTCACTCGTCAAGCTGAAGACCCAGGTTCGATTCCCCACATGGGTACAATGTGTGATGCCCATTTCTGGTGTCCCCTGCTGTGATATTGCTGGAATATTGCTAAAAGTGGCAAAAAAATAAACTCACTTACTCACTCACTTATGGAGCATGTAAATGACAGTTGACTTCTTTCCTTAACCTGTTGTGGGAAAACCTTTGAGTTCGATACATCACGGAGTCAAGATACAAACACAAGCATCTATCCAATCACAGACAGCAAGATGTTTTTGTGAACACTGTTTGAAAAAATTACTGCTTGAAAACAGTTATGCGAAATATGTGTCTAGCAATAGTTGAATAAGAACTTATTCATTGTTCATGTGCTTTCATGAAGTGTTGTTAGTGCTGAGAATTGTGTGATCATGTGATTCATTGAAAAAACTTCAGTTGAATTTCAAGATAAAAATTCAATGTATTTAGTATCTTTGTGACTGTGACTGGAGATCTAATTCTATTCTTGATGTACAAGTGATTTTCAAAATTTAAAATGGATGTACATAGCTAAAAATGTAAGTGGGGCGTTGGGGTAGCTGAATGGGTAAAGCATCCGCTCGTCGTGATGAAGACCCAGGTTCGATTCCCCACATGAATATAATCTGAAGCCCATTTCTTGTGTCCCCCTGCCATGATATTGCTGGAATATTGCTAAAAGTGGCGTAGAACTGTACTCACTCAGTATGTGCGGATAGGTTTTCAGCTGAAGGTTTGGTTCAAGACTGGCGAACAATTAAGATTTTATCAGTGTTGTCATAATATAGCATGTATACTGCAGGCAGAAAATAGGTGACATATCTGTGGCCTTGAGGTTAAAGTTCACTTATGAACTGTCTGTCGCAAAAGGGGTAGCTCAGAATTACCTCACAGGACAAATATCACAATTTTTACTGTTTGTCAATATAACATGATGGATTCGATTAAATATATGCCTTATGAGTTTCATATCACTACATGGTTTAGGGACGTCATTTTTAAATATCTTAGACCAGTCCTGTTAGTAATCGATCCTTTTCTTGATATCAGTGTTGTCATATGATATACAATGCCATATCAGAACAGCATGCTCTACAGTGATTCCTGACTGACTTTCACTGCTCGATTTCCTTGTTTCCGTTGATGCAAACGCAAGACGTTTTCAAAACTAAGATGCTTGTCAAATCAGTTGTAGAAAATGTGTCTAACTCTGAAGTCTCATCATGATATGCAATTCTTAGTTAGTGAATGCCACCTCAATTTAGGTGAATGAATGCCACTCCCACAACCTAAATCGCTTAACTATGAAGGCCGGTATGCAAATTATTATGATTTTATGAAAAATGAACACTGGTCACGTGTACATGAAAAGAATTTATAGTTGGTTATGTTTTATTTCACTTAGTATTTGTTTTTATGATCAAGATGGTCAACCGTTTAACCTATTTTATAAATACTCAATACAGGGTTTGTTTGACTGTATTATTATTTTCTGTGATATTGCATCAGCAGATTTTGTTTCTTACATCAGTGATAGACTGTGTCAAACTGCACATTCAGTGACTTTTTGTAACTATTTTATGGAAATCGTGACAGTAATCTCAGTGTTGTTTCATAACTTCAGAAAATAAGAAAATAAGTATTTTTCCCCAGATTATATTTCTGATTGATCATTAGTTATTGTATTTTGTAATGATTAATCTGTAAACTTAAGTTACTCTCATTGTAAGTTTTCAGACCCTTTGCATTTTGCCACTTCCAGTATATCAACATGGGAGGTCATAGTATATCATCTTGAGGCAATTCCATTTAGTGTTTATCGTTACCGGTATACACAGATTGACTTCTGGAGGCACGTGTGTAGCTTTACGATGTTACTTGAATTCATGAACATGTAGCACTGCAGTTATTGACATGCTGCGAAGAATCCTTGCTTCATTTCCAGCGACATAACATGCAGGATTGTAAATATGAATTAGTCACAAATATTTTGGAAGTAAGAAAGACAAAATATGAACAAATTAGTTGTGGTGACATTGTTCAGCTAATTTTGCTTTATGGAATGTCTATGGAAATGATCTGATGATAATGATACCTTTGAAGTGTCTTGCTTTCTTGTTGTTTAAGTCCCAAGTAAATGGGCTGTTTTAATGTCCATGTTAATGATTAAACAACTCAGATGAAATCTTGTTTTGTTGTGTCAGCTAATTAGGCAGCCCCTGAGCTTGGATTTGAAAGAGGGTACTTGTTGTTACCTTGCCTGGTGCTTGGCACTAAAGGGACACAAGGATTGGTCAGCACGTGTCCCGAGTTGGCGCCCAGCACTAGTCTGGACACTGGGTGCATGCACTCTGTTAGTGCAATGATCTTGAGCACAGTGTGAAACTCAATACACCTCACCTTATTCTACTGCTGTTACTGGGGCACTGGGGTGCCTAGTGGTTAAAGCGTTCGCTGGTCACACTGAAGAACCCGGGTTCGATTCCCTACATGGGTACAATGTGTGAAGCTCATATCTGGTGTCCCCTGCCGTGATATTGCTGGAATATTGCTAAAACCATACTCACTCACTCACTCTGCTGCTGTTACTACAGTCTTGACTACAAGCTCACTATACATGCTGAAGACTTTAATACCCGATTCCTGTATATACCACTTAGGAATATTTCTGGCTTTAAGTTCATCAGATGACAAGCCAGCCTATGTGAGTGAAAAACACAAATAAGATGTAATCATGGAATCTTTACCCCCAAAAACCCCTCAAGCACAGTATGGTGTAGACACACCAAGGATCTTGGGGGTGAACCTGGGATTTGAACCCAAGACCAGATGATCCATGGCTCAAACACATAGCTCTGCATCTTTGCAGGGTTTAGGTCACCCCCATTAGTTAGAATGAGCGAGAATTAGTAATTACCAGACACTTCGTCTGCACCTTGTATATACTATGTTCCTACATCACTTATGAGCACACATTCTCTTAACCTAGAAATCAAGCCACATCCCTATTCAAGTGGGATGGAATCCAACAAGTCAACAAAGAATGTTCAGCTTAATTGGCATTTCTTATGCATTGTCAGTTTTACAACTCCACAGCAGGCAGTTCGTCAAAGTATATTCCCTGAATAGTAGTCATAGGGAATGAGTGTGTATGGTTTAGCAATATTACAGCGGGGGACACCAGAAGTGGACTTAACAAATTTTTATCCATATGGGGAACCTTAGACTAAGGCTTAGTCTCTGAATATATATAATTTTGATAGTAACAAACAAGCCCATTTATATTGAAAAGGAGCCCTAGGGAGACCAGATATTCAGAACCTGAGGAAATATAGACTTGGTTCATTTAGGGCTTTAGTACAGCACTGCAGTAGGGAAATTAATGTGGTTCAGGGACTGTGAGATAGACTAGGAGAACCTAGGTAATCGTCGTGCCGAGTGAATGCATCAGCCACTGGCCTACCCCATCATCTTAGTAGCCATTGGAGTTATTTTAGTCTTACATAAAACTTATCTAATAGCCTGGCTAAAAATATGTCACTCTTACAACACACAGAAGGTGACAGAGGAACATAGTGTATATTGATGAGGTTTTTCAACAACCCAGTCTTTGAAAAGACTGTTTCCATGGTCTGTAGGACAGAGTATCTGTCAGGAGAGCAGGAGATTGGTGGTTCCATCCTGGCCTCGTCACACCAAAGACGTTTAAAGATGGTGCTACTTATTACCCTGCCTGGTTCTAGGCATTAAGCTGATAAATCAAGGACTGGTTGTCTTGGAGTCAGTAAATGTGTCAACGGGGTGGTCATGGTAACCTGTGGCAAAGTTTATCAGTGTGCAAGCACAATAAAACTGGCATTTGTCAAGACTAGAACAAGCAGGTCAGCACACACATACACAGCTATATAACTGTGATAATCTTGAAACCAATTTGAGAACCCATTTTACTTTATCTTTTTTTAAAGAAAGAAAAACAAAGATGGAATCACTTTTTGCACCTGAGCACAAAGCCCTTTATTTTGACTGTTTGGGCCTGGGCGTACACAAGAGCATAGGCAGCTGATACACCCTCACTGTGCCACGCCCACTTTCGGATATCAGGACCACTTAAAGGAAAACGGCGGTGACGGCAGCAACACACGAAACAATAGTAGAAGCATATAACGAGTATCACAAAACAGATAACACTACTAAGGCAGGCAATCTCCACCCTGGTACTACAGTAGAGTGCCTTAGTCCTGTTCCTGCCCAGAAACCTCTCCCAATCCATGCCCCTCAGATGTACTGGATGATATGTGAAGATTACATGGCACCTTTCCCCACCCTGTCTCAGTTCGAAATTGTTGAGTGATGTCTAATTCAAACTCTCCAGTCTTGGATCTACAATCAGGAGTCGAATTCTTATGAAGATAAACTGACAACTTATCTTACTAACAGCATGCATTAATTAATTTTACTGCTGATGAAAGAGTATCGATTATACAGTGGCCAAAATATACATTGTATGAAACAGGCATTATTTAAGTTGCCATGGATACAGATTCTGGACATGCAGAAACAGAACTAAAACAAGCACCTGCACCACTGACTCTCAGTTACTACATCCTTGGACATTTTTACGTCAACAGAAATCTTCACATACAGGTAAACGTTTGGCTCGGACAATCATGTGTTGACTTTGATGTGCATCAACTTCAGGTATCCTAATCCTGTTAGCAAGCAAGCACATCTTTAATAGACGATATCCGCACTAGATATATTAGGAAACGCATAGAAGATTTGAATTTACCGAAGTTGAATGAAACATCAAATTCAAAACATGAGTTGTTTGAATATTTATAACATGAAATAAGGATAAAATTAGTCCTATTCTGACCAATATGCTCCGTCATTTGCAACATATTGAAATGAAATCTGCATTGTCTTTTTGACTGAAAATAACTTAAGATAATAAGGGCTGGTGCTATCCTGATATGAATGAAATCAAAGTATCCATACGCATGAAACTTTATGTAATAGAATCATAACAAACTAATAATAACATTTTCATTGTCGTCTGCTTCATGGATCAAATTAGACATGGCAGTTCATCATGTGGCATCTTTCACTGACATGTAATTCAATCATGAAAAAAAAAAGACATTCATAAATCATAAGCCTCCTTCCTGACTCTGAAACTTGTGAAAGACCTTTCACCAAATCATTATGTTGATATATTTAAGTACTTAATTGAAAAAACAACAACCAAAAAACCCAAAACGAGACTGAAATGCAAAAACAAGCATATCAACAATTTACTTATGAATGTATTCCTGTTCCATGAAGCAAACAAAATAGAGATGCCACACGTTCCTGTAACTGCAATTAAAGTGCTCAGATGACCGATACATAGGAGGCGGGAACCTTCTACATTTGAGGATAAGTATTACCACAGCATCTCAACTGTATCACTGTCAGTCCGTCTAGACCAATGACAGTACAGGTGCCATGGAAACCAAAACTTACCACCCAATCCTCCCTCACTGGCTCATATGACAACCATTGGATACTCGGGACCTTTGTTTTCAACCTTTCAGTGAAAGCACCAAATCTCACTTCTTTGTCATTAATAAAAGTTGGTATGGGTAACATGTGACCCTTTGTGAGTGATTGAGTTTAGTTTTAAACTGCTTTTTGCAATATTCCAGCAATATCAGGGCGGGGACACCAGAAATGGGCTTCACACATTGTACTCATGTGGGGAATCGAACCCGTGTCTTCGGCGTGACAAGCAAACACCTAAACCACTAGGCTACCCCATCGCCCCAAAAGCCTCAGGTGTAGATAGAATTAGGTTCCTTCCTTCGACTGGACTATCTCTGCACTCAAAATAAACAGTTAGTCCAAACTACAGACCACTGTGTAAACAAGACACTGCTTCAAAAGAAGTAGAGTCAACTAAAATATATTTTTAACAGTGAGGATACGTTTTAACAAACTGAGAATAAAACAAACAATATATAACATGTAGACTGGTAATTGGATGAAAGAAAAATAGATGTCGTTCTGACGATATGTTTCAGCAAATTGTTTTAAAAAATACTTCGTAAAGATGCACTGCTTACATCACTAGCATTAACCATTCATCTTGGAATCCAGGACAGCATATATGCTTTTATTCTGTAAATGTTCACATGAAAATATATTCCAGCTGAAGTCTGTCCATACTGCCAAAAAATATAATTTGTAAAATCAAATACTGGAAGCATTAAATGGCAAATTTAATAAATTAGCAAAACAGTTCCTCCCCACAGAGAAGTCAATGAATCCTATAGGAAGTTTGTTCCGTGTTCATGTTATAGCAGGACTTAATGTGTGTTTAAACCAAGTCAAAAATAAAGCCTCAAATAATAACAGGAGCACATAAGCCTTGAATGTTCTTTTTTAGATTACACAGATTTTATAGACCAATATACATTAAGGTTTACACTTGTTTTAGATGTTAGTGTCATTTTCAGTAGTAAGTGAGTATGGTTTAACACCGCTTTTAGCAATATCACGGCGGATGACACCAGAAATGGGCTTCAGACATTGTACCCACGTGGGGAATCAAACCCAGGTGTTCAGCGTGACGAGCGGACGCTTTAACTGTTAGGCTACCCCAACGCCCTCTATGAATAAATGTAATCAAGGTCCCCATCCACAAAGCATTCGAAGCACTACATCAATTTTAATCCTATGATAAACTATTGAGTTACGATAGCTCGTAACACTATGAATACTTTGTTGATTGGGACCCAGGTCTGGATCATTTCACAATCCATTTTGGTTGAATCGGGCTAGTTTGTCCATCATTTCAGGCTTGTGTTTATCTTAAACAGCTACATTTTTGGAGAAAACAAGCACCTCCAGAATATCACTAAGTAGCTATACCAGTGATAAATGTCATGAGCAATGATAAATGATGACGGTACATCATCATCAAAGCCACTGACTGTAATCATCTCATCCACTGGAAAGTGTCTTCACGACTGTAATCATGACTGATGAGTTGAGTTTTATGCGCTTTTAGCAATATTCCAGCAATATCCGGTGGGGGACACCAGAAATGGGCTTAACACATTGTGCCCATGTGGGGATCATAATGGTCTTTAAAACCTCGCTCTATAGGATGTCAGACTGCTTGGGATCATAATGGTCTTTAAAACCTCCCTCTATGATGTCAGACAAGGTTACTGATCACCGTGGAAACCAGAGGGAAGCCTCTCATATCATACTGCATCAGTTATCATGATCAAATGATACATTATTAGACGACGTGATTGGTTGACACATAACCATAGATAGATGTCACTAGATACTCAAAATTAGACAGTGTCAGACCTGGCCAATAGAATTTTGGTCCAAACCCATTCGACAAGTGTTGACATAAAGTTAGTGCTGCAATTCCAATCACATCTAGAATTAAATTTTGACATTAATGATAATTCTGTTTCATGTAAACCTGTCTTCCCAAAGTGAAGTGAAACATGCTGTTATATATAATTCTCGTCCGATATAAACATTCAAGGCTTAAAAGTTCCTGCGGCAAACCCTGAATGCTTTCCATTTTAATGTCAATGACATCTCTTAGCAAAAGTCATTTACAGAATACATGGTCATATTAATAATGCATGTGTCATATTGCTAACAAAAAGTAAATAGAAAGGTCAAGGGCAGTTTTATTATGCCCTAAAGAACTCCTTTAAATACAGAAGTGCTTACACAACATCAACAAACCATTTCCACTACATCTCACTCATTTCTTGGCAGTTACAGTCAAATACCCATGAAAAATGCCACTGGATTTTGCTACCATAAAAATCAGGTCTCACAAAATTAATTTGAGGGTTATTTCGAGTTCAAAAAATATCCTTATAAAATATCTGAAACAAACCAAATATACTCTGTAATATCAAGGTACACAACATGACATAGTTTCTTACCATTTACAGAATAACAATGAACATGAAAAACGGACAATATAAATTATGGATACAAATTCTAAACAGACACTAATACGACCAGAATGAAGACTGTTGCAGGCTGTTTGGCAGTTGGTAAGTTAACTTTGTAAATAAATTGCAGAGATACATTGCAACCCTAACAATATTTAACCATTCTGAAATGGTAACATTGGTGAAGAAATGGTTCCTTGTTCAGACTTCCATTGTACTTACACAGTGAGTTCCCAGAACACAATTTGCCTCATTAACAATTTTCATTTTTTTTAACCTAAGCTCAGCTCTGATATAAATGAAATTTCACATGAAAATAAACAAAACAAGAAGTTTCAAATGATGCTGATTACAGTAAGCTATGTTTAAAACAAACAAAACTCCAAATACCACTCATTTCAGGTCATATTAACTGTAGTTTATTATACGCATTTCAACTAAAAGATAAAGAAAATGGTCAGGAAAAAACCCAGTTAGTCATAGTGAGTGAGTGAGTTTGGTTTTACGCCACTTTTAGCAATATTCCAGCAATATCATGGCAGGGGACACCAAGAATGGGCTTCACACATTTTGCCAATGTGGAGAATTGAACCCGGGTCTTCGCTGTGATGAGCAAACGCTTTAACCACTAGACTATCCCACCACCCCCAGGTTGGTTACATCTATTAGTTCGTTATAATCATGGTCGTAATAAACATAGCTTACTGTATTCAAAAGTCTTTAACATGCAAATCTGCACTCACAGTTCATCCTACAAGTTGTCAAAAAATGACAAAAAGAAATCAGAGCTGAAATAATACTTTTTCTCTACAATTTACTTTTACAGAAATAATGCATGCTTCTTTGGCCACCAGTGAGACTATGGAAGCCGAGTTTGCCCTGTACACTGACCAGCTGCAGGTTCTATTCAATGTCACAGGTCAATATGCAATAAATAACCTTACTTAAATCTGGAAGCAAATCCACATGGTGTAGATATTAAAAAACATTCTGGACCTTGAATTTTCATTTTGACATTCCATCACTGACTCTTGTAACTTGCATGCTCCGATCAGACCCAAACCAACTAACAACATTCTACCGATAGCTTAATTACACCACATAAGATCAAGGACCACCTAATTCTTTCATTTTCCTAGTTACTCTGCAATGGCTGAATTCTTTCATTTACAATAGTTTGAATTGGCAAGACAAACGAACCATAGAAATATGAAAGAATCAAGTGCTTCTTGTTAGAGTAGTATATATCATAAAAATTGACAAGATTTAGTTGTAATATCAGTGGTATATTTTAAAATATATTACAGGTTCATACACACTGCAAAGAAACAGGCTTGATATACCCAAAATGCACATTAATATTGACCAAATTGTTGATATGAATCTTGCTTCATGAGTAAATGCAGTTTGAAAAGATCAGCATTAAAACACAGTTACCCTAATACTCGGTGGATTCCTATCAATACACTATATTGGCTTTGAAACAGCCAAGGAAGTACTTACATCAACAAATGTGATTGTTAGATTTCTGCTGGATGAAAGAAGTAAATATACTACCCAAAAGGAGTTCAGGAAAACCTAATTTCTTCATGGCTATAGTTGTGTCATGACATGACATTTATTCATGATTTATTCTACGAGAATTCATGTTTTCCATGACTTTAGTTCATGTGTCATGACATGACAACTTTTGACCAAAAATCAGGTGTTTTCTAATTTCTTTTAAGTAGTACCTGAACAAAGGTGTCCATGTCAGAAATAATCTAGTGGCTAGTAAATCATCGCAGAATTTTCACAGTGATGCACCAATCCAATGCCCCCAAGAAGGAATGAAGGAAACTCTTATCAGGGCTCCAGATAAAGGCCGTATCGGCGTATGTACGGATAAAAAATATACATTATATGGTAGGAATTAATTTAGAAAACGTTGCAGATACGCACCACAGCAATGGTGTACGGTCTGAGAATGATTTACAGACATATTTATCTGAAAAGGTATTGTTTTATTGTTTACTGACCTGTTTACACAAGAGTAGCAATGTTGTGGTGCATATATGAAACGAAACACAAGATTCCATTCAGTACTCTGAATGTACTTTTAGTTTTTCCAGTACTCCTATATTGAAAATATAAAGAGTACTACTCACTCCTGATGTTGAAAAAAGTATCTGGAGCCCTGTGTTATCTTCAACCAGAAGCCAAATGCAGAAGGTTGTTCTTAGCAAAGTTACAAAGACTATTGCTCTAGTGTGAAGACAAGTCTCCCAAACTGGGATGTTCTTTCCTTTAGCTGTCACTAAAACTTAAATTTGCAACCAAAAAACCCAACTGTAAAGTTCGGTTTGATGTCAATATTTCATCACATCATGGTTCGAGCTTATTTTGGAAGGAGATCCTGCTGCGATGTGGATTACGGATGTCGTCACTGGTAAAAACTGACCAAGCAAGGATGCACCTCTGCAGTGCTAGCAGCCCCATTGCCTGCTTCTTACAATGAACTGAAAATTATAGGACTCATGTAACAAATATTTTCTATATTCCCATTTTACTTTCCTCTCCATCTGATCTAGTCTGACATGCATCATGCAAATGCCCGAGAACCAAGAACATATTATAGATGAAGTCAGAGCAACTTCTGAGACTAATGGGTCCAGTAAGACTCAGTGGAGGTCTACGGCACTAACACTAATTATTCAAATTTTAAAAAAGAAAATACATTTTGAAAATAACTGTTGATGTTCAGGATATTTGTTTTACTGTCCTTCAAAGTAATTTTTCCATGTTCAAACTTTTCCTACAAAATATAACAGAACACAGTTTCAATCAATCAGCCGTTTATCTTCCTTTTTCAAAAGTTAAGCTAAGAGTTTATTTTAAGCATATCTTTAACAGAACCGTACTGAGTGTTTTGACTTTGGGTATGCTCATTGTGGAAGAAACAAGTTGGCGTTGGTTTATTAAGTAATCTTTGTTTACCAGTGGTGCAGCTGCGTACTTAGATTATGTGAACACTGTTGGCAGGTCAACTACTGGTCGCGAGAGATGGCAGTCACCAGACCTGCAGCTCCAACGGAACTGAAAACCAATTGTAGCACCAATGGACGAGTCTATAAGATTGGACTAAAACAACATGTCCACCGTTGTACAGATATGAAGTGGGGCTGTCCACAAGGCAAAAACGTTCATGTAGGGTGGAGGTGGTGGTTCAATGGTGAACAATGTCATGTTACTTGCAAGGATGGGCTGGGAGGGAGGAGAGGAGGATGGTTTTGAGGGCTGCTGGCTGAGGTTTAAATAGAGTTCTTGGGGGTGTAGTCTGTGGCATTGGGGTTCAGGTCCGAGGACACCGTCACATCATCCTTGCAGTATTTTGAGGAGAAGAGCGGAGAGGACGTCCTCTCTGAATTGAGAGTCTGATAAGAGCTTGTGCTGGGGATAAGAGCCATCACCTCAGCTATTTTTGATTTCAGCTCTGCAATCTCGCTGTCTTTCTCATGTACTGTGTCTGTGAACAAAATAACAGGTTTGTGGGAACTGGCATATTCAGTGCAAAAGAAATATACTATTCACACTTTGATAAGGATCAAATCATGGATTCAAAAGAAAACTATTATGTGGGGTCAAATTTGGTTTAAATACCTAAGCTTATTGTAAACATGGATCCTAGGTTTCAGTATGTCACTGCATCTTGTGGATCCCATACCTACTATTGACATGTATTGTTTATTTGTCAATAACTGGTCCCATGATTTGCAAAATGGCTGACTGGCGCCATGAAAACCATTTTTATGGTTACTCATGTATCAAGTGCATAAGGTTAGATTAAAGTGGCTGTTTGCCTAAAGAGGGGTTACCATATCATTATTTATCCAATTTTAAATGGGTACAATCTATGTTTAAGTAATGTTGTGAATTTTTGTGATCCTTAGCAAAGCGTGAGTAGTACATTATTAGTGACAGAAATTGGCCATAGTCATTTAGTCCTTGCCAGTGAAGGTTTTTATAGGGATGAGAATAAATTTGCCAGTTTTGTATGGACAATTGGATGAAAAATGTTAGTTTCTATCAATGATAACCAGTGCTGGTTATCGTTGACAATATGCAGACCGAAAAGGGGATCAGAGTAATTTATCAATAATTGATTGTGATCAATTGTATTTAAAATTTAAATGGGTCCTGACACAGTAATAACTTAATCTGCATCCTTCCACACTTCTAACTCATATACAACTCCCTTTCATTTTCCAACATTTAAAAATTAATTAAAGGTTAAAAGCTCACTCTGTAATATTTTAATTTGGCGCCTCTCCTCGGCGAGAGCTGAAAACAGATCCTGCTTGAATCTTGTCTCTGCACTCAGGTTATTCTCCAGCTCTGTGTTCTTGTCTTGCATGGCCCCCAGGGCCGCCATCAGAACCTCTGTCTCCTTCTGGGCATCCTTATACTGTCGCAGAGCCTAGAAACAAACAGCTTAGTTCTAAAAAGGTTCTAATTATTGTTGATGAATGAATTTATGAGAGAAAGTGAGTGAGGTTTTACGCTGCTTTCAGCATTATTCCAGCAGTATCACGAGAGGCAGATGCAGGTCTCAGAATATTCACACCTTTGGGGAAAACCCACTAGCATGAGTATGGTGCTGAAAACATGGTCGGGGCGAACCAGGATTTGAACCCATATATGAACATACATACATGGTTCAGGCAGATCAGTCGTTGACGAAGAATAATTCACAACAATGAGGTACAATTGAACACAACCAGCCAATTTACCCACTTGAGTGAGTGAGTATTGTTTTACGCCACTTTTAGCACTATTCTAGCAATATCATATCAGGGGACACCAGAAATGGGTTTTACCCATTTCACCCATGTTGGGATCGAACTCGGGTATCTGCCGTGGCGAGCAAACGCTTTAACCACTAGGCTACCCCTTCGCACCTTTACCCACAGTAAACACCTGATCCTTGTCTTGGTCCTTGAAGCAAAACATGGGAGACTCAGTAGCAATCAGTTGAGTGAGTGAGTGAGTTTAGTTTTACGCTGCACTCAGCAATATTCCAGCTATATGGTGGCGGTTTTAAATAATCGAGTGTGGACGAGACAATCCAGTGATCAACAGCATGAGCACTCAGTTGAAATGTTGCTCAATATACTTACTTGTACTTCTCTTTCAATCTGTCGAACTTGCTCTTCCCTCATTTTCAGATCCCTGCGGAGCTGTTTTATATCAATTTCACTGTCTCTTCTCCTAGCCTTACAACTCTCTGTGCATTCGACTCTGAAAACACATTAAACTGTCTACATTCCGATCACATTCAAACGTATTTTCATACAAAACAGCAAATCAAAGTCAATTTTTGTAGTTGATAAGCATGAGTGTTTAAATATTCAAGTCTGGACCAGACAATCCAGTGAATAATATTGTGAGCAATGACCTGCTGGGTCATGATGGCGTGATGTAATCACTTTGCCTGACAACCCTACCTATGAAGTCACCTATTACAGCCAGCATAAGCTAATCCCGAACCCTACAAAGACCCAAGCACCCCTGTAATGCCAAGCAATGTTCCACCGAATCCAACTCAACAGATGTCAACACATTACGTTAAACCAACCTTGCTGCTGTTGCCATGGCAACTGCTCTAGCTGCAGCAGCTGCCTCGTCTGCCTTTCTTGCTTTGCGCTCTGAGGCAAGCTGTGCCTCAAGTGATGCTCGAAGCTTTCGTTCCTCTTGCACCTTCTTTTCCAGCATAGCTATGTTCTGTTTATCTTGCTGCTTGCTGGTCACAAGGTTGTGCAGTCTGGGGACACAGCAACAATTGTTACACATGGAGAGGGTCAACTACAGGAGTGAGTGAGTGAGAGAGAGAGTCAACTAGAGAGAGAGAGAGAGAGAGAGAGAGAGAGAGAGAGAGAGAGAGAGAGAGAGAGAGAGAGAGAGAGAGAGAGAGAGAGAGAGAGAGAGAGAGAGAGAGAGAGAGAGAGAGATTTACACCGCCTTTAGCAATATGACAGCAATATTATGGGGCAGGGACACCAGAAATGGGCTTAACACATTGTGTCCATGTGGGGAATAGAACCTGGGCCTTCGGTGTGATGAGCGAACACCTTACCACAAGGCTACCTCAACCACAGCAGGCATATTCAGCTATCACATGGTGTAAGTATTATCAGGGTATATAGGGTTTTCAAACAGACTTTCAATGGTAGCTATTTTTGGGGGTAAGATATTAAATTTCGACTCAGCTAAGGAGGTTGTGCCTTCTACACCACCTTCTGCTTTAAAAGAATGCTATGACAGGAACACTCTACTAGCACGTACAATTTCGTTTCCCCATCTTTTACTTTCACAAAATAAGTCAAAGCAAGTCAAAGAAGATGTTTTCCTAAATAAGAATAACTGTAGTCTTCTAAAAATATCAGCTACTATTTGCCTTCTTTTAAATAGCATATGACACTATATGGACAACCCCATTCAACCTCACAGTCAAATTCTAGAAAATACCAAGAATACTTACTTATTCTGTAAATTTTCATTATCTTGCTGGAGTTGATACAGCTCGGACCGCAGGGACTTATCCCCTATACTGAAGTTATTTATCTGAGATCGTAACTCTTGCTCACAGTTTCGACTAGATTGAAGGTCCGCCTTTAACTTCTTTACATCTGTCTCTAACCTGAAAGAGTCAACAGATAAATATGAAGTTGGTTATCTTGGTACATCCTAAAAATGATATTTCACCAAAGTACTATCGCTGCATATTATTTACTGACATTTGCCAATATTTGATTACTGATCACGTTTGAGATTAACATAAGCACATGAAATTGTCTTGTGAATTTCTTCTGAGATCCTCTGTTGATTCAGCTAATAAATACCCAATATGTATACAAAGATAATTTAAATGCAATGACTGTAAGGAATAATAAACTATATTAGTTGTTATTTTACTTGCTGCTTTAGATGTGTACATAAAACAAAAATAATTATAAGTGAAGCTGGAGAACAATAATGAACAGCTTGACAAGATCAACCAATCAGCAATCACTACACAAAGGCATGCTGCTGCTTATTTAATTCTTGCCTATTTGTGTACACATTAAAAGTAAACAATCATAAGCACAATAACAGTGATTATTTGAGCCATACAGAACAGCTTGATGAGATCAATAAATCAGCGATCATTACATAAGGGCACCCTGCTGCTTCATTATACTGATAGCAAAACAAACATGTTGACACACAGGACCAGTAACTAACATCCAGTACTAACTAACTAGCAGTGATAAATGTGTTACGATCAATACGATCAACAACAGTCGCCTGACCACCTGCTCAATGTAGTTAGTGGTCTCTAGCATAGGTGGCTTGGAAATCATTTCAGGGGTGGAAATAACTTTTAAAATGCTAGTGTACTCGGAACAGTGGCACATGTAAAATCACTTGCCCTGATAAGTTTTCCACTATACTGGCTGTCTTCTGGTTGATTTTTTAAATAAACAACATAATTAACATTGGAAAGTCAAGTGGACACCGGTACAGTGTGATATACAAATTTGCTTGCCCGACAGAAAAAAACACTGGACTCGGACGTCGGGCAATGGGTTATTTCCACCCCTGCATTTAAACCTTGAATCCCACAATTCCTAAAATACTGACATTTGCTTCCTAATACAAATATTTCAACAAAACATAATAAAAAATTCACCTTATTTCAAAATTTAGGAACAGAGAGATTGAAATTGTCAGTTCTCCATCTCCAAATGAGATGTGATAACTTTCTGTCCCAATGAGCTGTATAATGCAAAAGGTTTCCCAGAATTTAGAAATGAGAGTTGTTCCATTTACTGTAGTCTTAACCCCCCAAAAAAACTGAAGTTTTGAAAAAATAATAGTATGCTGGGATTACTAATTTGCTAAACTCCCCTTACAAAAAAGCGATACCACCTAGTGTTGGGAATTGGCTAAAACCTCATAATGGATAACTGGTTCAATGCAACCGATCAATCATCAAAAATAATTGGTTAGCATCATTTATCAAATTTTCCTGGTTATGTTTGTTAATGCACAAAAAAAAAAAAAAAAGAAGAAGAAAGTGAAAACCATTGCTATTCGTTTGCGTTTTTTTTGTTTTGGTTTTGGGGGCAAATTGCACAAAATGCATCTGTGAACTTCACATACTTAAAGGATGACTAGTATGTTAGGAACATAAGTTTCCTGGAGTCTATGATCGATTGCTTGTTTAGTCATTGCGACCAATCTTCATATTTCGATTAATCCGACCACCACTTATACCAAGAAGCAGAAATACTGAAACAAAGAGGCTGTTATCGTTATGGGATTTAGGTCCACTGAAGCATGATGACACACAATGAAAGCACCACTCACCTTGCTATAACTTCATCTTTATTGTTGCTGAAAGTAGCTGGAGGTGGTATATCTTTACTGTATGTCTTCCCTTTTTTCGTACTATTTTCCTTACTGCTATTTAACTTGCTGCCCTGGGATTTTCCACCCACTGAGCTGGATGCTGTTTTGAAAGATTTAGCTTGCTGATCATTGACAAAATTGTCCGCACTTTCATCAAACTGATTAACATTAGTTTTCTTTGGCAAGCTTTTCTCTATATACTCTATCTCGTCATCTTCATTAATGTCTGAACTCTTGGCGGACTTCTTGCCATCTTTTTCTTCTTCTACTTTCACTATTTTCTTCCCTGCCACCCCATTTGAGATTACCTCCTCCTCCGGTTTGGATGGCAAAGCTGCAAGAAAACACAAGTCAGTAAGTCACAGAGATTACTACAGGACTGTATCATACTCATTTAACAAGACAAGTGTCAAAATTCTTGAATTTCCCAAATGACGTTAATGAATGAATTCTTAAGTTTCTTAATATCAGTATGACACATATGCGAGGGAAAAGTTTCTTTATTATTTATTAAGTCTCCATCATTTACAGTTCCTCTTGAGGAAATTGCACTGACAACAACTGCTGTCTTAGAAAACCATAACTGTTGAATGTTAACAATACTCAGCCATGACATTGTTTTGGGTGAGATCATTCTAGCCAAACATTAGTGATTTCAATGAAGTCAACAATGACATGGTGCACATAAAGGGATATTTGCATTAGAGCACATATGATATTTTATAATTTAATAAATTTGGGTATTTCTATGCCTGCTTGATGGAGAGACAAGCATGAAGAACAAGAAGATGTCTACCACTGATTTTAAATGAAACTCCAGGTGAAATACAATGTAAAGACAATTGTTGTTGGATATATATTCATTTGTTGTTTAACTCTGCCCCTAGCCCTGTAGTCCCCTCACCACCCCCTGACCACAACTGTCAGCATTATTCCAGCCCATACACGGCTGGGGATTAGGTGCCTCATATAGGTGGCATGATAGATTAGAGGGAGTTCAAATCTTAGATCGGACTCAAACCTAAAAACAGTGTACGAAATAAGCCAAAAACCCAGCCAGACATCAGGGCTAGTAACTTGAAAATATTACCAGCCCAAAATGGATTTAACCAGACCAGACACCAAGCAGGATATGGTGAATTTACTCAGATGTATGGAACTTCTAAACTTTTTACCAGACCGTCCGTCACAAATCTAGCCCGTCTCGGGCGGTCAGACGGGCCTTATTTCATACACTGGTAAAAAGAACTAGAATCTGTAGTTAGAAGACAAAGAGAAATTTCAGACATAACATACAGGCTTCTGTAAATAATCGAAGACTGGACCAGACAATCCAGTGACTGATATCATGAGTATTGATCCACTCAACTGGGATACAATAACATGCATCAACAATGTCAACAAGCCTAAACAACTGATCATGTAAGTTGTCTCTTATCTTTCCGTGGTCTCTGACAATACATGTTTCCAAATTCGTAAAGGTTAGTGCCTGAAGGATTTGTGTGGTATTGGGGATAAAACATTTGAAATATGTCACCTTTTTGTTTATCAGCATACTGGACCTCTGCAGGAAGTGCTTGATGTAATAGCTGCATGTAAAAATCATTTTCTTTTTGTACAACTTTCTGTCTTCTCTGTAAAAGGAAAGAAAAATGGGTAAAAATCATGAAGTCTTTAACTGGGACGTCTATTCATATTGCAAAACACATACCACAGTGCCATCCATTCAAGAAAGCTACATCACACACTATTTAGGAGTTTTGCACAATGTTCTGGGTCTATATAAGACCCCAGTATTTTTGTATTGACAGGAAGCATATTATTTTTCACATTTCATGTGTTTCAACGACAATTGGCATACTTAAGTGGCGGACAGACATATTATTCACACTTTGCTAAGGATCAAATCATGGATTCAACAGAAAACTCTGATGTGGTGTCAAATTTGGTTTAAATATCTAAGCTTATTGTAAGCATGGATCCTAGGTTTCAGTTTGTCATTTCACCTTGTGGAACCTATACCTGCTATTGACAGGTGCTGTGTACTTGTCAATGACTCGTTCTATGATTTGCAAAATGGTTGATTGGTGCCATGAAAACCATTTTTATGGCTACTCATGTATCAAGTGTATAAGGTTAGATTAAAGTGACTGTTTGCCTAAAGAGGTGTTACCATATTATTATTTATCCAATTTTAAATGGGTGCAATTTCAAATTAAAAATCTACGTTTAAGTAAAGATGTGAATTTTTGTGATCCTCAGCAAAGTGTGAGTAGAATAATTTGAATATGGCACATTTCATCCACAAAGCAACATGAGTAAATTTCTTTTTCAGCTTTCAAAATTCATGCTAGCCCTCCAGTACCAGCCTACCAGAAACAGCTGAGGACAAGTAAATATCTAATGATAACAGTGATTATTGATGAGAAGTATGTGAGACTTTCTATTTTTCATTTCTCGCTTTCATAAGTAACCCCCAAATTAAGTAAAAAGAGGCTGACACTAAAGGAAGTCCTAGGTGTTTGACTGTGAGGTTTACTCCTGTAGTGTTGATATCTTGACCCCTCGACCTTCACGCTTAAATTTGAACACTGAATTCCCTACTGACATACAAAGATTGTTACAAATTCAGACATTAAGCAATAAAAAAAACTTACCAATCTCATTCTGTAAGATATGTAACTTTTAAAACCAAATCCTAGTGTCACCACTGGATAACCAATACTGAAAAACACAAACACATAACAACAGTTAAAACCTCGACACTGAATCCTATGAAATGCATACATTAATGCAGATTGTAATAACTAATATCTGGACAAGAATAAACAGTGATTGATATTATGAGCAAACTTCCACGCTTTTACAAAGTCAGAGTATGATCAACACTATTATTATTATTATGATATTATTGTTATTACCTCCATTGTCTCCAGCCACATTACCAGCATAAAGAAATGTGCTTTCTAACTCAGAATCATCACAGGCACTTAAATTTCAATAAATGTCCCTCAACAATAGAGAATAAAACAGACTTGAATGCAATGCATAACAAAAATGCCTGAAGTTTTTCAATGGTACAGTTATCCAAGGGAGGTAACTCACCAGTGCGCAGCAAATGGCCTGCAAAGGTCTAAATTAAAAGGAAGGCTCTTGAGTTCTCGAAGTCGCACTGAGGCTTCTATGTATACAAAAAGCAACCACAGTGACACTGTCGGCAGACATATCCCCCTCTCTGAAACAAACCAGTAGACTTCATCACAGATCAGGTGAAGGAGATCGTAAATTTGAAATCATGAAAAACTGAATGTTACATTTTTTTCTGACAAAAACTACTAAAATCAAAGTTCTTCACTTATCATTTTATCATGTACATTCTTTTGTAATCATGGCAAATATTAGTAATAAACTTGATTAAAGGTAAAAACAACAATTACTGGAATCTACATTAATCAAGTTATTTACCTGAGAACTACTCTAAGTTACTATCTCAGCCATGTTAACTTCTTACATATCATCATAGGTAACTAGTTTTCCTACCACTGTTATCACTGACAGTAGAAGGTGAGAAGTATGTGAATGTATTACCTGTGTGCCAAACATATTGAACCCAAACGTAGGTACTGGCCGCAAAAAATAGCCACTGTACTGGTATGAAAAGATAGCAGATGACGTCTGATGTGATAGCGATGCAAACGAAGAAGACAGAGAAAGCCTGAAACAAAACAACAGTCATTTCACTTATGATAAGTCTGTCTCCCAGTCCCTTAAGTCCCATTATCTTCTCTTCTGCCTGGCCCTTTCTATAAAGCTAAAGCCCCAAATGAAGCAGGTCTACATTTCGTCAGGTTCAGGTCTGAATCTCCCATCTCACTGGGGCTCGTTTCCAATTTAAAAAGAATTGTTTGTTTCTAAATTATATATATTCAGAGACTAAACGTTAGTATACACTTATGACAGTTCTATAGGGCTTGAATTAAGGTGATGAATCCTGCTTACACCCAGTGCAACCTTAAGTAATAACCTGCTTGCACTCAGTGCAACCTAAGTAATAACTTGCTTGCACTAGAGAAAGACAACTTACATCTGCTGTTGAGTATAAATGCAATGTTGATGCTTGACGTTTTGATGATTTAGAACATTATAAGAAAAATATTCTAGGTCTGATGAGCAAAGTTTATCATATTTAATAAAATTTCATGACATAAACAGAAACAATCGTTCAATCAATGTCTGTGTAGTGATCTGAGTCACTGTTCCAAGCCAGTTCTTCATCATTCTGTTTTACAGTTGAAGTTTGTGTTCTTTGAACAGCAAAATATCAACATGCACTGGGTGCAAGTTAGCATAAATATGAGGCTGCAGTTTGCATTTGTCAGGTTCTAAGTGCTTAAATCAAACCCTGTACCTCATTATACAAAATTATTCCTTAAATTTATCTACATCCTCAAACAGGTCATTATCTTACAGGAAACATCCAAGCTAGGTCTGTTCATGACCAAATGGTTTACAATGCACAAAGCTAATACAGTCATCCCTCGCAATAACGCTCTTCGCTATACCGCGGATTCGGTTAAACCACGGGGTAATCTGTGGCTCCCATAGAAAAGGTTGCCCAGCGATCACACATGTTCATGTCATCGAAAATAGCACATCAACAAATCCGCTGTTGAGCTCTGGTTAATCACGTTATATTCTAGTGAAATTCAGTGCAGATTGCAATTAACAGTGTTTATCGTACATATCAATGCTTTTTCAGATGTTTCAAACATGCAGGGTTTTCTCAATAATTATCAGACAAACAGCAAAACATCGTAATAACTTATAAAAGACAACTTGCCATCTGCCAAATACTTACAATGTTTGCTGTGATGCAACACACCGCGTTATTGCACGGGTAAACACCGCCATCCGAGAACGTTATAATGTCAGAAAACACATTTTATTTGATTACATTCAATCCCATTTTCATTGATTAAAACTGTTTACAGCAACAACGGAGAAACCGCGAGTGAAATGGCATTACCTCATTCCATACAAATTCTGCTTACCACATTCGTGAGGGTCAGTTTTTTGCGTCTACCGCGATAGCACCAATTTCACTTTTTTCTCAGCAATCACGAACAGATTACAGCCTCGTCATCCATGGACCCCAAGACCGCGCTATTGACTCATTAAAGTCATATTTTACAATTAATTGCCAACATTTTGTTTTTACAATCAAAGTGGCACGTACCGCGGGAAGTCAGCGGTGACTTGTCAAACTGTCTCCTACGTAAAATGTATCCAGCCAGGTAACCCAAAGTGCTCAGCCTATGTTAAATATGTTCGTAGAAAACATGCATTATACTTATACAATAGCAATATATAATATCTCTGTTAAAATAACTGCTTAAGATATAAAATTATTCTGATAATGGAATAGAAATTCTTTGATGTTATGTTATCGGATCGTTTTTAACTGAATCACCGGTACATTGGACCAAAACATCTGTGCACCACTGATTGCTATTTCCGGCTTAGTTGAATAACAGGTAGCATAACAGGAACAACAATTGAATTACCATGTCTAGTGATGTTTGATTGCAAGGTTCCTGTACATACATCTATTATTTTCATTTACAAAGTTGTTTTTTTTTTCACCTCCAACAATACGATATAGTTTCGACTGGGCACAATACACGAAATAGCAGCTTTGTTATGTCCATGGAAAATACAATTTTACTTGGCCTTTGTTCCGCGTTATGTAATAGTTACTATAACGTGGGTGTCTAATAACGCGGGGTCATCAAGACCCAAGACCTGCGTTATGGCGAGGGATGACTGTATTAGCTGTCTCTCATTTATCACAACATACAGCCAAGTTCCAGATACATGGCAATAATCTGTAAATAAGAAAGTCTGGAACAGACTATCCAGTGATTTAATGTCTGAACAACAATCACAAGGTCAGGTTAAGTTGACTATGATCTAAATTGGTGAGCAGTTGACATACTTGGTTGCCTGTTACGACCATCTTACCAAGCTTGGCACCAATTCTGACCAAGAATCACAACAGAGGGAAGTAATACACACTGTGATGAAACATGTGAGTCTTCTACTATTCTAGTCTTTTTGTATTCTTTTCTGGAGATCTCATAACTTCTCATAAGCACAAAGAACAACTTCGATCAAAAGAATTTTACCAAAATGGGACTTCACTCACTTCAGACCAGATGCTAAAGGGGAACTTTATAGTTATCCATACTCTGGTGACGATTTTGGTCTTGATATAGATTTAATCAGTGAATGGTGTCAGTCAGTCTGTCACTGTCTATGTGTAAACTCATAAACTCTTAAATTGATACACATAATCAAATTTACGTTTACAGTCATCCTCTTCATGTTGCTACTCTTTATAAATTAAACAGTGGAATTCTTAAAATGACTAGAATATTCACTAAATGTTTACAAGATTATCATCTTACCAGTCCTTGGTACTTGAATGAGTCGTAAACACTTCGGAGAAGGAGCCAGAAAGGCCAGAGGTATTCAAAACGGAACTCCAGAATGAAATCTGCCATCAAAACCAGCGCCCACACCAGTAGAAACTTCAAGTACAAGAACGTACTGAAACAAAGAACATGCACATGTAGGACCTGCCAGGAATCCAGTCATACTATTCCTTCAAAAGAAAATGAAACAGGTCATTTTACACACATTTGACAAAATCAAACTTCCGCACACATTAGTGGCTAAAGCATATGGCAATCACACCCAAAACATTTAGTCTGTCTCACAGTCCCTGAACCACATCATTTTCCTACTGCCTATCCCTCCCTGCAATGTTAAAGTCCTAAATGAATCAAGTCTAGATTTTCCCAGGTTTCTCCCAACTAACTGGGGCTCCTCGTCAATTTAAATGGGTTTTTTTTGTTACAATCAAAATTATATATATTCAGACTCTAGGGCTGTGACGATACACTATCTGCGATACGATACGATACACATCACAACATACACCTTGAAAGAATGATACAGTATTAAGATTTCAAATGATTTATTTCAAGGTATTTGTGTATAACAATAACACTGTTGTAATAAACAAACAAGTAACTCTATCATACTTGCATATTTTTCTCTAAATAAGTACTTTAACATGTTTAAGGTAATACTGTTTTGAAAAAAAATTGTGTATCGTTTTGTAGCGATACAATAGTTGTATCATACTTAAATGTATAATGATGTATCGGTGCATCTGTGAATTGTCCCAGCCCTATCAGAGATTAAGCGTTAGTCTAGCAAAACATTATAAAGTATGGTTTGATTTTTAATCTTTTTATGTTAATATTTGTCAGTGAGGTGTTTTGTTTGAGAAGAAATGGCTACAGCAGAAATTAAAAAACAATTAAAGGGTATTCTTGTATGTCAACAATAATAATTAACATAAGCATCAATTTTAAAAACATAACATACAAAAACATAAACAACCATCATTGAAACATAAAACTGAACCACATCACATCTTCATCACTCATTTGCATGTTCATGTACAACAACCAAATGGGTACAATGTGTGAAGCCCATTTCTGTCGTGATGTCCCTGGCGTGATATTGCTGGAATATTACTAAAAACAGTATTATGCCATCAAATTAGCACATTGTGTCAGGATATTGTAGTCATATGTAATGCTACCTCAAGTTTTTTAAAACGCTGTGTACTGGCAACAGATTTGTACAGAAATATATTGTGATAGAGGCAGCCCTAATTAAAGTAATTAAAAAGGCTGTTTATTGGCAAACAATTTGTAATACAAGTAGCTCCAATGGAATACATTTTGTGAAATACTGGGAGGTAAAGTGTTTGACAGTGATTGACAGATCCTGATTTCTTTACACTAAAGTTTCATATTACTGGGAATGGTCAGTTGCAGACATTATGTAGCCATGGATACAGGGGAGATAACAATGTGTGAAAAATATTGTTTTAATGTTATAGCTATTTTGACAATGAATTTTGAAGCAAAACATCATTTGTAAATTAACTTTTGAGTACAAACCAAAACCTTGTGCAGTCCTCATAGTCAAAACTCCATAAAAATCACTTCTTTAAAAATTATTCTAAAATGAATCGAATCATACTGAGTGTAGTACTACCAATCACCTGTTGTAATATTTGTGATGAAATATTGGATGAGGTAGTGAAAACGTGAAGTACTGTCAGAAATATAATTTTTTTTTCCTTTTCTTCTTCACATTTACAATTTATGTAGTTAATATGTGAAAGTGTGAATTATCTGTTAAACTAGATTTGACCTAACTACAGTCTCAGTGTTAGGGAGATAGGAAAACGTTAAAAAAAAGGACCTTATTGGGGAGAGATTAGTGCAGAAATGAGCAATGCAGGCAAAGCGACTTATTTGGAACAAACCATGGCTTTATGCAAATTACTGTGCGAAGGTTTTGTATTACAAAAGACACTTTTTAAATGTCCATTTTGAAATTAGACTTAGCTTCATTAGAAATGATAGCTGACATAAAATATGATAACTTTAATACTGAAATAATTTAACAGGGCTACAGATAAGGGGCGTACAGGCGTAATGTACGCCTCAAAATCAATTAAGTACGACGTAATATAAGATTTCAAGCGTATCGTGTACGCACTTGTATACCTTTGTACGTTAACATTTAATTTCCTTGCGTATCGTGCAAATGGAAATATGTTTCGGATAAATACTTTTCAAGTTTCTTTTGCGAAACACGATTTGACACATGAAACCCGACAGTAGGAATCACTTGCGTTGCCATGCAACGATATGCGTCACTATTTTTCGATTGGCTAAAAACTACACTGTTCCTATTTATGTCCAGTCGGACCTGACATTTCGCGCATCACACGGTCGCTCAGTTATTTCTCACGCGACTTCAACTACAAATACATGGTTGGAAATAGTGATCGATGAAACGTCCAGACAAACCACATCACCAACTCGCTCACACAAAAACATGTCAGTACTCCTTCAAAATTCTCAGTACACCTCCACTTGCAATATGATGTGTAAGTACACTCATCCCCCCCAAAGTTATCTGGAGCCCTGATTTAATTATTAAGGATGTAGCTACCATGGAGTCTCACTATCACTATACAAAACAAACAGGAAGAAGGGGTCGTCTCAAAAATAAACCTGGACGGGTATCACAGACGGTGGTTGGGGTCTTGCTGGGTAGATATCTGGATAGAGATATCAGCTAAGATAAGATAAGGGGAAGTAAACAGCATGTCATAACAATGTACAAACAAGAAGACAAAGTCATCAATATCCTCTGCAATGGCAAAATACTCTTCATGAATATGTCTACTAGATATGATGATGTCAAAGTTTTGGCATGTATATAAGAAAGTGGAAGGATATTATTGAAAGTTTCTAAAGTTCTACTCCAGACAGGAGAACTACCACCAATTTCAGTTGAAGCCAAACTTGTTACCATGGAAGCGCTAAAAAATATTTTATTCCGAAATCAAAAACAACCAAAAGGCACCAGTTCACCACTAGACCTATCTAAGTGCCAAATTTGGTGAAGAAATATTGTGCAGTTTTTAAGTTTGCTGTAGTTGAAGTCCATCAATTTCAGTTGAAGTCACACTTGTTGCCACGTAAACGTCAAAATACTTTATTCAGAAATCCAAAACTACTAAAAGGCACCAGTTTACCACTAGACCTATCTATGTGCCAAATTTGGTGAAGAAATATTGAACGGTTTTAAAGATCTGCTCTGCAAAAGACGAATGTGCACGGAGTCCATTTTAATAATATCCAGTCCTGTCGATCTTCAGGTGGTCATGCCACCTATATATTTTGAGACATTTAATATAATGGCTGATTTAAGCTTTTCTATGGGTATCATACTTTTTCACATATAAACCTTATGAAAGAAACACGCAAGATGTTAATCAATAGATGAGACATATTCAACACACATTAAAAAGCATAAAATATCTTTGAGATGACCCTTGTGCCTGTCAGCAGCACATGCATTTCATGCCAGGTGAATCGACGGTCCGTCATCAAAACATGCCTGAACAACCTAATTGCCATGTATAGTCTGATCTATTGTTTTTAGCAGCTATTCGCATAAGTTTTGCTCGATTTTACGAGTAAACATGATTTTCTGGATATCGTATTAAGCATCCCACTGTACGCCAATTTAGGCCGATGTGGGTTATTTTGACATGTGCTATGTGCAGTTGTGTAAATTTGAGGGATACAGAGTAACAGCATAAAAACAATTGTTGTTTCTATTTCTGACAGTACTTTAGGCATCAGACTTGGGGCAGGGGTACTCGCTCAGAAATAGAAGGGCATTATATTCAAAGATCATGGAGGAACTCTAAAGAAGATAAAAGCTCCAAAATATCATGAGAAATTTTGAAGACATGCTGTAAACTTCAACTACAGCAAAATTCAAACAGGCATTGTACTTTGTTTACTTTCAACTGACCTCAACAAGATGTGTCAGAAAATCAGAGTTTACAGTTTGAGTTTACCGGTGTGCATGCACGTTACAGCTGGACTTTCATTCAGAAGGTCTGGCACATTCAACAAGCTATTCTTGTCAACAGTTTCTAACAGAATCAAGTTTATTCTTACAGGTCACAATTCTGGCTTGAAGCCTGCTATCAAATAATGTACACATATATATTAAGAGTTTTGATTTGAGAGTGTGTGTGAGTGGGTGGTTGGACGAGTGGGAAGTTGGACATAAGAAATTCTAGCTCAAAAGAATTAATATCCTTTCACTACCAGGGCATTTTAGTATCTTTCAAAAATATTTGAAGCATTTTACGAAAAATACAGATGCAAATATAGCGGAAACAGGAAGGTTACCAACAAAATACACCACATGTAACATTTTTTGTTTCAGCTGTCAGTAGTCTATTTTAAAACTGGGTCAACGGAAAGGTTGCCATTCCACATGACCGACAGGTAAAACAGTCATAAAACAGTTAGATACGCCATCGAAACTGGAAACTTGCTACCTGCCTGAGGATAACATAAAAAGAAGCAGTGCTCAGATAAGTGTGCGTTCATGTTCATACGGGTGAAACACTTACAAACCCAATAGCATGACTCAATTTAGAGCCTTTTCAAGTTGTATACGTCTTGACAGATCTTTATTTCCTGATCAAATGTAGTCATGACGTACACACAAACTCTAGTGCAGTGAATCAAAAAACATCTCACTTATTGTAGTGAGTGAGTGAGTGAGTGAAGTTTTAAAAAGCTTTTGGCAATATATGGGAGTGATGAAAATAATAAACTGATGACAGAATACACTGCCCAAGATCCGTAAGAAAGTAGAAGGATAATAGGCGCTTGTTAACAATAATCGATGACATTTTATAACACGTCCTTCCCGTGTACAATGCATATGCTCACAATGTTGACATATAGTATGACCAGAAATTATTGAGAATTTTAGGAATATGTTTAACTGGATGTCTAGTACAAACAACCTTGACCAGCTATCAAGTGCTTGGAGACAACTCCGTTAATCCTTTTTCATTAGTTTGTGAAGAGTTATCACCCTTTGTTTACTTGCTAGCAGACGACATTTTCAGTGATATC